TCGATCTATAAATTACAAAAAAAAAAAATTGGCAATCCCGATATTCATTCACTATTGATATTTGACTATAAATGAGCTTGTGTCTACAAATGTAAAAATGATAAATCAAGTCCAGTAATTAAAACTTCCCGACCAGATTTTATTCTCATATTGTAAATTTGGTCTGAAATACACTGAAAAACTATGAAACGTCAATTTGATGGCGATAAAAAAAACAATGTTTTTCTAGTGCCCCCCCCCCCCCCCACTTTTACCCCGAAATATAGAATTTCTTTTACCGAGCAATACAAAGGTTTTCACGTAGATGTGCATCGAACACACAAATCTGACTGCGTTCAGTTTATAAGGGAGAAATTACTTTGCAAGTTTGGAATAACTTTACGACCCGACAATAATAAGGCGGACCTTACGTGCGTACAGTTAGGAGGCGCAAAAACAACCCGCAATGAACCCCTTTTTCAGAGGGTATAAAGGTAGTAATAGAATATTCCTCTAAACAGGCCTATACAGGGCACACGAAATAATTTTTGGTTCATTTTTGGAATAAATGCGAATATTTTTTTTACAGAACACGATGAATCCATTTGAAAAAGGTTGGAAACTTGTGCACGGTTATGACACTTTAAAGAATAAAAACAGTATAACAGCTGTTTCCATGATAAACTTCATTTTCAAGTTGAGTTTATAACATCCGTCGAAAACTGCTTTTGGGCGGCCAGGAGAGAGCAAGGATTCAAGGAAACAAAATGGCGTATATCGCGTTTGGGGAAAATATCATTTATTGCAAGGTTCATGGAAACAGACACGAAAATTGAACAGCTTCAACATGCCTTTGCTTTTACCATTTAAACCTAACTTCGCCATGCCGCAGGAATTCACAGCACTGCGCGATCATGTGTGAAAAGAGCACTAAAACGAGTGACAACAATAATCGTTGTTTCTTAACTCAACGCCAATCTCCGCATGAGGCGACTTTGTCAAAACTAGGACGCTTAAGAATGCTAAATAATTACTAGGCTGCACTGCACCAACGTGAAATGTATTAATAACTGAAACTGTAGTAGCAAATTAGCAATGAAGCCCGATCATGTTGTGGAACGAAACTAAAGTAGTTTTCCAATTAATTTAAGTGTGAAATAAACCGAAAAATCTATACTTAATATTTTGACTGAACTAATACAGGTAGTTTCTCGAATAAGGAATGACATTTTTTGAAAAATGAAGAATGAAGTGCAATAAAGATGTTCAATTTCAAATTATTTGCAAGTTCATGTAGTGTCCCTATAGGGTTGTAAGAACTTGTCGTCTGAATTTGTTGATAGGCCTATGTGAAGCAAATTTGTAGCAACGGGGTCCGCTCGAGAGTCCGACGCCTTATAGGCCTAAGTCCGAAGTTTCGGACTAATGAGGCGTCGGACTTATGAGGCGTCGGACTCATGAGGCATAGAATGTATTTATTTCCCCTCATATAAGTCCGACGCCTCATAAGTCTGAAATTTCGGACTTTTGAGGCGTCGGACTTATGAGGCATAAATTCCGCCTCATATAGGTCCGACGAAATTTCAGATTTATGAGGCGTCGGACCTATGAGGCGTCGGACTTATGATACGGCCCCGTAGAAACTATTGTTTAATGAAGTTATTGCAGTCAAAATTGTTTCCTTCGCAACATAGTTTTGCCAGCGCTTCGATCGCTAGCAAGCTGCGAATGGTCCCCACCTAGCTCACCCAGACACCAGATTAAATCCTTGCGGCTATTTAACAAGTTCATGCAACCTTATCGCGAATCCTTCAATGTTTGCTAAGAGTGTGTGTACACAACAACGTTCATGTAGATGGTTACAAATTGACAACAGCGGTCATGTAAAGTGGGGCATCTGCGCTCACGTGTTTTGCGTAGTTGAGGATTTTTGGGCCAAGTGGGCGTGACCCAAGTTCAATCGTAAACAAAAAGGTGAACTATGCGCTCCAGCTTTACGATCTTGATCATTGTTGAATCGGATGTCAATAATATCATTGTGGATACTGACTTTATATTGGACCTTCCATCCCATGACTCAGTGGTTTGCGTAAAACCCTCAGACCCAACTGTCTGCCGTCAACGTCATCAGTGACGTTATTATGTGACTCAACCAATCACCAGCCAGTGCCGTGATTATATGGTGCGGGAATGCAGTGCATTGTTTAAACTGGTAGGGCGTCGCTTCTCAAGTGGTCTAACTCGTGATCTCAGCTAGGCCTTCTATAAAATAGGGGCATCCCTGGCCTGGATCCACTCAACATAACTTGTAGCCTTGACCAAGGCTATCACTTGTTCCCCTACCAGCTTGTTCCCGCTACCGCACACAGCGCGCGCCGCGACACACTATATTTGGTTGTACGATGACGTTAGCCTCAACGACCCTTGCGTGTGCTTTAATTGTGTGTATGTAACTGATAGCCTTGGTCAAGGCTACATAACTTACAAACAGTCGATCCTAATTATATATTGTATCCTATTATATATTGTACCGCGTCTCGAATTAATCAGTGGATCATTGACGAAATCGGGACTTTGCGAAAAGATTCAGTGACCGTCATCAGGCACTCGGAACCTGTCTCAGCATAGAGGAATATTCCTCCATGGTCTCAGTCACCGAAGATTGAACAAAATAAGTGCAGCATCACTTCGAACCCGCTACACTGGTAGGTACGTACCCTCGATTTTTTGGTCGACTCTAGTCTATTCGGAATATCCCCTTGCACAGCAAGGGTGAATGCGAGCAGATTTGGCGATTAACTTATGCAAAACAAAACTGCATGTGGACTTGACCTCGAGATGCTGACCATTCAGCGGGCGCCTTGTATCGTGTCTTTGGCGACCCGTTGTAGGATAACAAAAACATGTACGCCAAATTGACCAATCAACAGCTTAATTAGTCCACATTTCTGATCGAAATGATGCCACAATTTCTAAACTCGACTTCGATTGGCTGGCGCGCGGGGTCGCATAAAATTTGCATTTAGATATTATATCAGACCTTGGATATAAATCAGATAAGTTTTTACACGCCGGACCAAATATTCTTTTTTAATTTTAACGTTACTTGTTCATGTTCCCGTCCTTTCTCGTCTTCGTCATTGTCATTACTGGATAGACACAAAAGCGCCGTGTTTTTGCTATTTTCATCCCTTTAATATTATGTTAATATTAACGCGACAATATCAATCACCATACGGTTGTACCCTATTATAACACTCGAACCTTGCGTGGACGATCGATCGCTTGCGCTTGCAATGATGAAAGCGTTCGAATAGGCGGCACTATCACTCAGTGCGAAAAATATTATGACATAATTTCTATGGGAGAGAACTCTTGAGGGCGTTGCTTATGACACATCGCGCTGTTTTTAAAGAGATTCGAGACTTCAAGTTCAAGATGTTTGCTTCGTTTTTGAGGTCAAAATTATGGATTTTAGACTCCTGTGTACATTTGGTGCATACAATGTATCAAGTAAGTTGACTCTTTTTAAACACATTCTCTTTTCTGCTTGGACTTTCCAGGGCTACGAATTTGAAGTGCCAATTTCCGGACAAGTAGACTGACATTGCGTTGTATACAACGCAAAGCTGTTGTGTATTTTCGAACCTAGCGAAATCGATCCGCCATACATAATTTCGAATGGGTGTTGAGTAGGCCTACTCCTAGAACTATGAGGCTCCACGTAGATTAAGAACCCCGCAAAATCGTTTTCAGGACAAAACACTAATTAAGTACAAAAACGTCCATCAATTTTCAAAATGCAGACATTTCCCACAGAACCGCTGCACAGTTTGCCCCCAAACTCCGTACTACACCTCATGACATACTCACGTAATATGCGCAGAACAAACATCGCTGGATTTTGTCAGTTTTTTTGCTAAAATGACGAACGTGTAGAAGTTAGATTTTAACCTGACAAGTGACCCTGACAAATGACCCTGGACGAGTACCCAGGGTCATTTGCGTGCAAAATTGTCGGAGCCCTCCGAGCTACCCGTCTGCTTCATGTGGCGCATATGATAGGCGGCATCTGATTGGCCAATAACGAGACCACGTGATAAACGCAGCTAATAATTTGGAATCGCACTTATGATCCGGACATCAGGAGTGCCCGGAGCGTCAGTGCGATACCAAATTATCTGCAGCATTTATCACGTGGTAAATACCTAGTAAATCACATGCATCAGGAGGAGGTTGCAGGACGTCGAGAGCTTGCCAGATTTTACCTCGAATATCGTTTAAATGCCAGATTTGGCGTAAAAGCAGATTTCAACATGTTCAAGAAAGCTTGATGTGTGAATACTTATCATACGGTAAGGCAATGTTCAGTCTTTGTCACGGAAGGACGTTTTCGCTTGGTTCGAACATGTACAAGAGCGTGGCGTAGTTTACAAGCCACGTTCACGGGTCTATATAATGTCATGAATGTTGGTGATCGTGAAGTGTAGGGCCCCTGTTTTGTTTAAATCAAATTAAAGTCAAAAATGTTTTTTATTGCTCAAAAATCACCTTTACAATCAAAAGCAGACTTTTCTCAATTCTAATGACACCCGTTTTGCAATTTTGAACAGATTCTTAGGGTAGAAATCACGATTTTCCTGCGCGGTTTGTGCCTTGCGATTCAGCGCGCCGTGCGTGCTCACAGTACATCGCGCGGTGATCGCCAACTTTATTTTCGGGTCGCGTGTTGTCGCCGCACTGTCATCGTCATTTGACCCCAAAATTTCCCTCAAAAAAACAAAACCCTGCCCTCTTTCTATGACATAGGCCTACCTGTTTATTGAGAATGTCGCCAACTAGTTTGGTAGGTCTGTCGAGCGCAATTTGAGTCCCCCGCGCAAGTTTAAACTTGCGCTCACAAGTTTAAACTTGTGCGAAAGTTTAAACAGTGAATTACTGTGGAGTGTGGAAGAACAACTCTTTCAAACGACTGGTTTCAATAACTTTGGACTTAATTTGAACATATTTGCAGTTAGAGACACACATCAAGACTTTGCTACTGGAGTTGAGCAGTTGCATTCAGCATTATGGCAGGCTTTAGGCATCAGCTTCGGTATCTTATTTACCGAAACCTGCTGCTGAAAAGAAGAAACAAGAAACAGTTGTACCAGGTAAGGATTTGGCTAATGTGTACTTCTGGACCCCTATCGTATACAGGGTGTCCCCCCCCCCCCCCCCACCCCCCCCCCAAAAAGTATCCTACAAACGCGCTTTTGAAGAAACATTGTGAACACAGCCAGACATAAAACTTTGTCAAACATTGTTTCTACATACCATTTTCAAAACAATGGAACTCGGTGATGCATGACCAGATGTGTGCATCCAAGATATCAATGGAAAGCTTACAACCCACAGTTTATGATTTTAACCATAATTATGGTCATAAAGTTCATAGATTGTTCATAATATCCCTTTGTTAGTGGGTTACCTTTTTAGGGGGGGGGGGAATACCTTGTATCAGGCATGCAACTTTCCCTCGGATCTGCTGATTTCCTCGTATTTTACTTCTCATAAATGCCATTACACATTGAAAAACACTGCACAAAGTCTTGTGTGGTTTAGAATTTCCTTGTTTTTTTTCTAAATTCCCAGTTGCATGCCTGCTTGTATAAGACGACAAAATTCATTTTTTTTATCTAATTGTACTCACAAAAGTAGCTTGTGATGTTGAAAAGCAACAGGAATGTTTTGGACAGAAAGTTTAGTGGATTTACACACACAGGCATGCAACTTTTCCTTGGATCAGCTGATTTCCTCTTTTTTTTTATTCCCACTTCAGCCATTCAAAATAGAAAAACACTGTACAAAGTCTTCTGAATTTTGGAATTTCCTCTTTTTTTATGACACACAGTATGGGTTAAAATGACGGCAATGATGACAAAACACATGACAGAAAGGAAGATGGCAACAGTGCCAGCTCGGCTCAATGGATAGTGAATTTACAAAACTGTGTATACAGCGCGCCCCAAAATCCCTGCAACTTTTTTTTTGCGAGGCCCTATAGCGTCGGCGTAGAAACACGTACCACCATTATTTGAATACCATTTTAAAGCTTGGAATCAAGCACTTTGGTTTGCAGATACAATTTATGGGCTTGTTTTAAATCTTACCAGGAGCTGCTGTTTCCGTTGCTGTTTGTCATCCTGATTGGCTTCATGGGCAGCAACTTAAACACGGAGCGCTATGATCCCCTGGGCTACGGTGCGTTTCACAGTTACAAGCTGCTGCAGCCCAACGGCAACGATTCCTTCCTGCCGGACGCCAGCAAGGCGTGGGCGTTCACTCCCAACACGACCCAAACCTGGCCAGTCATGCTGGCCGTCAACGCATCCTTCGGCAGCGACGCGCCCCCCGAGTTCCTGGCCTTCGACAACGAGGAGGACATGGTGACCGCCTACAACAATTCGTACCAAGACCTGTTCACGATCGGTATCGTGTTCAGCGGGGAGTACCCTACCGACTTGACAGTCGCCATACGCATGCCAAAATTTGATGTGCCAGATACTGATGCCGATTCGCGGTTCATCGCCTCATGTAAATATGCGATAAATAACCACTTTGCGATAAATAACCACTTTTTACATGTAAAAGCTCCTGCCAGAGATTAAAAAACTCTTTTCTTTCAGGCTTTTTGAAAAAAGGATGGAGAAGCTCAGAAGGCCAAAATGAAAGATTGATTCTTCCATTTCTTGCCTCGTTTGCTGATACTTTTGTGTCCAAAAGAGCCGTCAACCACTGTACCAGATTTTCAACTTGCATGCACCCGTGTTGCTGGAAACGTATAAGAAGACACAGTATATTGCAAATGTATCAGGAAAAAAAGACTGAGATCTAGTTTCTTTTTTACTTCTTTCTTTTTTTTTAATAATTGTTTGGCAGCTTATTTTATTTGCTTCTTTGTGTTAGCAGCTGACCTACAAGTTCTGATCTTCATCTTCTGTTAAGAGAACAAACAGTGTTTCAGTCTCGCGTAGCGTCCGCATTTTGTGAAATAGATTCGTGTCACAGCGTCACCACTGGCAGCACTGAAACCGTGTAATGGAAGTTCTATTCACCTTGCAATAGAACTTCCATTGCACTGTGCCTTGCGCGCGCGCCGTGCGTTGGGACAAATAGTTCAATGACATGTGATCAACGATCCACCAATCAGGTGACGGGGATTTATTCAGGTGTTGTATAAAACAGTCTGTTCTCTTTTCTTGCTGTAATATTCAAACTATATATGCGTATGTCTCGAATTAATCTACGGCTAAATAATAATCATAGATAGGTCGTCGTAGATAGGTAGGAGACTAGTGGAGAGTTCTTTGCCGTCCGAGGACGCCTAGGGTATACTGCGTGGAAGTGACTCTCATACCCTATACAATCTGCCAGCATGCAGGGGGATCGCACAAGTTTCACTTGCAGTATTTTTTGTCTGTTAACAGCAAGGTGTCGGTCTAGAAACGAAAAGAATCCTGGACTTGCTCGGTGCGGAACAAACAGATACCTGTTTACTGGATTTGCAGCCCTTCAGACTGTTCTGCAAAATGCCATTCATTCGGTAAGTCCGATAGTAGAGGTTTCACACAAGAACTGTTGTGGTACTGGATATTCTGTTTGGTCTTGTGATGTCGTGTGGAACATGCCATCCACTACGCACGTACACAACACTGATACATTATACAAATATTGAGTGGCTCAGAGTGAAATGGGAGGAATATTATCACAACGTAAAATCTGGACTTTTCCATTTCACGAGGCGAAGCCGAGTGAACTGGAAAAGTCCAGATTTTACCGAGCAATAATGTTCCTCCCATTTCACAATTTAAAGCCACTCAATATTTGTTTCATATAACTGACATATAGATCCTTGTCATTTGATATATTTGAACTTTTAGTTCACTACAAAATTGATGGGAAATGTATTTCTCTCTTCCAAACCACCCCTTCATGAAAAATGTTTGAACCCCACTCTGTAGCGCTGGCTCTTTGGAACAATACGCGCTACGCGCAAAGCTGAAAGCGCACAACAGCGCACACAAATACCGCGTCTTGGAACAAGAATGATCCTAACTGTTCAATAGTATTTCCCATTTTTTTTGGGCGGATAGTACTTTTTGAGACCCGGCGTGAATGGGAGTAATAACGAATGTCACGTGATGTGAATTCCACCAATCAAATGACAAGGATCTGTATGTCGGTTATATGAGTGCTAACTGTCAGTGTGGAACGCATACATACATGTACATCGTCACCATTTTCAGGAAGAAACTACATATGTCAAAAAATATCATTTTTTAGATTTTTGATTTTTTTGTGTCGCTATTTTGCTTTAAAACATTGTACTAAACCGTTTCGACATGTTTCTGTAAGCAAAACAGCATTAATTTCCAAATTACATTAATGATGCATGGGTCAAATATCTTGATAATTGAATTTTGCGTTTTCATGAAAAGACACAAACTTGTTGGCCCCTTGAATGCGTACAAAACCTATTGCACAGAAAGGCATAAAAGTACATGTAGGTCAACTGAGATTTTTGTTGGAAAAAATGTTGCAACCTGACGCCACTTCCGCGATTGTGTACAAAGTCTATGCAGAGTCAAGACAATTTTCTAAGTACCGGTATTTCCTAACAAAATTGGAAATATCTCTCAGTCCCAGATTCATGTCTTATCATCATATTTGCAATGAATGACATTCATTGAGGGGTCATTCCATGCCAACTCAACAAATGGTGCACACCATCACCTCTTGGATTTTTTTCTTTTTTGGTGTACTGAAAGATACTTAGGAGAAATGCAAATTCTGAAAATTTGGGGTCTCTACGACTTTTCGTTCTTGCGCAACAGCATTTTGAAATTTGAGGTGGGCGGGGCCAAAAGTGCGTCGCGTCACGAAATTCAATGTTTAAAGGGCCATATATTTAAAACTATACCCCCCAGACATTTCAAACTTAGTAATCTGGGCTATTTTTTGCTGTAGATTTCAAATATTTAAACAGAAAGAAAGTAGCTTGTTTCATTTTTAAGTTAGAGGGGCCCCAAAATGGCCCAAAACTCATCTCGACCAATGTTCGGGGGGGTGTAAGTCAAAAATTGAAAATATTTTTTTCACCAAATTTTTTGCCTGTAATAGCCCCCAATTGAAACTACTTTCTTGTAAAATCTTACACTTATATTAACTTCATTGAATGAGATATAGCCCTTGCAAAAAGCAAATTGTTTATTTTTATGATAACTTGACCCCCCCAAAAACCAACGTCAGACATTCCGCACCAAATTTTGCTTCACATATGTTTGAGGTTGGTCCTTAGTGAAGTCCTCTGAAAAGTTTCATGTTGGTGTCTAAATGTCTTCAGTGGATAGCTGGGCTTTATAATGAGTCTATCTTACGATGCTGGTTCCTTAACATACAAGTACACATGTATAGAATAACAGCAGTCGGTACATAAAGAATAAGTTGGGTATGAAACTTAGCTTACATTTGTACATGTAGACTTTTGATCAGTTGATATAATTGTTTACAGTTTCACAGGTGAAATTATGCATTCCTTGTGATGTAGTTTTGATTAAGTTGAATGAGTTGCATGATGGTTGGCTCACTAAGTTTGTATTGCCTTCCACCGCTATGTAGAAGTTCTGGTGTTGGTACGCAACACAACACATCAACAAATGGAATGTTACATTTATCCTCTCTTTGTGGCCAATAGAGAGTATTTGTTGATTCCGTCCTGTACATGAAGCAGACATACACATCCTCATGAAGTTGTGATACATCTTCTACAATAGCAATGTGCCAAACATCATCATAGACCACACAAACATATTTTCCTGGGTTGAGGTCAGCTGCTACAATTGGTGCATGATGAGTTTCCTGCATGAACTAGGTTTCCCCTTATCCATAATGAAAACTAAAATCAATCAGGTTAAAACCATAGACCCTCTACTCAAACTGAATCACTTCTCTTTGGTTCAGGTTAGTGCTATACTATGCTGTGCAAGTGAGAACTGGTTAATTACTACATACATACATGCATGCTGTGTGATGAGCACGTGGAAAGAATAAGACTCTCAAGTCATTTAACCTAATTTGCATATAATGCACACGTAGGTCTACAAGCAACTGTTTATTGAGCAGGAAATGGGTAGTCTTGACCCAAGTATTTCAACAGTCGGGGGATTTTGTTGTGCTGGTTCCGTAAAATACAAGTACGTGTACATGTATGTTACGGAACCTGCAGCATCATAAGATATAGACTCTTTATAAAGCCCAGCTATCCACTGAAGACATTTAGACACCAACATGAAACTTTTCAGAGGACTTCACTAAGGACCAACCTCAAACATATGTGAAGCAAAATTTGGTGCAGAATGTCTGACGTTGGTTTTTGGGGGGGGTCAAGTTATCGTAAAAATAAACAATTTGCTTTTTGCAAGGGCTATATCTCATTCAGTGAAGTTAATATAAGTGTAAGATTTTACATGAAAGTAGTTTCAATTGGGGGCTATTACAGGGAAAAAATTTGGTGAAAAAAATATTTTCAATTTTTGACTTACACCCCCCCGAACATTAGTCCAGATGAGTTTTGGGCCATTTTGGGGCCCCTCTAACTTAAAAATGAAACAAGCTACTTTCTTTCTGTTTAAATATTTGAAATCTACAGCAAAAAATAGCCCAGATTACCAAGTTTGAAATGTCTGGGGGGTATAGTTTTAAATATATGGCCCTTTAAACATTGAATTTCGTGACGCGACGCACTTTTGGCCCCGCCCACCTCAAATTACAAAATGCTGTCGTGCAAGAACGAAAAGTCGTAGAGACCCCAAATTTTCAGAATTTGCATTTCTCGTTAGTATCTTTCAGTACACCAAAAAAGAAAAAAATCCAAGAGGTGATGGTGTGCACCATTTGTTGAGTTGGCATGGAATGACCCTGAGATGATATATGAAGAATAAAGTGGCGTCAGGTTGCAACATTTTCTCCTTTACGGTTCACGAAGAGACACATATCTTTGTTACATTCTCAGCTGCGCGCACGTACACACGTGCACTCCTTTCACAAGGAAAAACACATTGAGCAGAAAGGGCCAAAATTTAGGAAACATGAATTTTCGTTTTCACATGGAGACACATATCTTTACTAATTAATTTTTTGGTTAATCAACCACCGTGCTAATTCTAATTACTGGGTTTCATGTAAAAATTCACCTCTCTTAAAATCATGTGAAGGTTTCCTTACTGCGCAAAGTTGTGTTAAAATAGGAGAAAGTTCTGTGGCTATTCACACAATCTTTTTTTTATTACGTTTCAGCAACTGGCAAGCGGGCCCCTCGATCTGCCCGACTTTTCCGTGCGAATGTTACCCGTCGGTGCGAGCACGTCCAGTTCCGGTGATGACCCCATGAGGATCATTATTGTGATCTTCTTTGTCTTACTGTACGGCATTTTTGTGGCCGTGCTGCTGACCAATCTCGTGTACGAGAAGGAGAAGAAGATTAAGGAGACCATGCTGATGATGGGAATGTCCAACGCTGCCTTCTGGTGAGTTGTAAAAAGCTAGGCATGTGTGGTATTGGATTTTGGGAGTCCGCGGTATACCGCCCCAAAAATATGGCGGTGCTCGGTATTATTGGGTGTTTTTCTGGGCGGACTATTATGTGATCAAAATACAATCAGATATGTGGAGTTACGGAAACTGCAAACAGGCAGCATGGGCAGAACTAGATCCCCTCGGTATTGGAAGTTGACAAACTAGTTCCCTCAGCTTCACCTTGGCAACTAGTTTTTCCTCTTCCATTTCCTTGGGGAGCTTATATACAAATATGGGATGCCTTCGAGTGGTGTAGTAAAGCTAGCCTCCCGAGGTGATCCATGGACATTCTATTTTCCCGAGAAAATAGAATGCTTAATAGATTCACCGAGGGAGGCTAGTTTTACTGCACCACAAGATAAAGCATTTAATATTTGTTTTATAACACTTCACCCACAGATTCTGCTTGGTTTTTAATATTTTCAATTATTTAAATCTGATTACAGTTAAAATAAACTTCTATTTCAATTACAACATTGGTGGGAAACCTAATTCTCTCTTCCAAACCACCCCTTCACGAAATGTTTGAACCCATCTCTGTGGCGCGCTCTCTTGTGTACAATACGCGCAATGCTCAAGGCGCACAGCAGCATGCATTTGCACACAAATACCGCGCCATGGGTATAGTACTTTGGTTGCTGATGGTATAGTACTTTGGTTGCTGATGGTATAGTACTTTGGTTGCTACGGGTATAGTACTTTTGGCCAGGCAAAGATACCAAAAAAAGAAAGTACCATGTGATTCACTCTCCGCCAATCAAGACACAGAATCTTTGGCTGAGGTGTTATAATATTGACTATCCACCCTCAAACCACATTATATTTGTATACTACAATGTGGGCAGTCCTAATAACAGTTGGAACGTAAGATAATTCTAGTGCATTAGCCGTCTTTGCTATTTCATTCTTATTTCCTCTTGCCTTCAGGCTTGCCTGGTTTATAATCTACATTGTCATCCTGTTCGTTTTATCTCTTGTCGTCACTGTATTGTTTGGCCCTCTCATCGGCACCTTCCGCAAGTCGAACTTCGGCGTCATTTTCCTTACCCTTTTCTTCTACGGAATGTCACGTGAGTTCAAAGTTTATCAGAGCCTTTTTGGACATTTCTTTTCATGGCCATAACACTAATAATTATGTTATTTTGGATTTACCCCTTGCCGACATAATTATAATTACCAATTGTTTATTTCTTAGTGCCTTTGCCTTTGCTGTTTAATAAGGGAATAAATGTGTGCTTTGGAGGTTTTAATCACTCTGTTTAAGACCGCTATGAGTCTGGGTGCTGATAATTACCCGAACCGAGAGGAGTCCTTAAACAGAGTGATTAATACCGACCAAGCACATATTTATTCCCATTCATAAATACCTTTTTGGTAAAAAAAAAATCAAAACTTTTCGGTCAAAAAAACCCAATTTTGTTCAACAAGTTCACTTTATGTTTTTTGAAACACCCCTCTTGCTAAATAATGGAGTGTCCAGCTCGCGAGTAAGATGTAAACAACTCCTTTTATGAAGATTGGTGCAGGGGTTGCGCGTTCTGCACGATGTCGCGCAGAATGCACCTGGGGCATTGTGTTGTGAATTTAGTACAACAAAATACTGACTCACTGGTAGTATTGCGCATGCCTATGTGAGGATTGTGAGCGCTCAACCAATGAAACAGTAAGAGACACTGGATTTAATTTTCATTAGCAACTGCTTGACTCACCAATGCTGATAACTTCATTGCGGGAAGATTGTGGGGCAGTTGTTCAGAATCCTGCAACATCATGCCCGATACAGTGTCTGCAACTTGTCCAGAACGTGTCCGGGATAGGAATTGAGAGGGGTCCTTAGCACAACCCCAAATGAAGGACCATGGTTTTCTAATCCAGTTCCTAATTCTGCCTGTTTTTTTTGTTTTGTTTTGATTTTCCTTTGGTAACAGTGGTCAGTTTTTCCTTCATGCTGACACCGTTCTTCAGCAGGTCCTTAGTGGCAGGAGCGGCCGCTACGGTGGTCGTCTTGATTCTTGGATTGATCTACATCCCGTTTGGCCTCTTTGAAATCACTACCGTCGTCAAGTGGCTTGTTTCGTTCTTCTCACCTGTGGCATTTGCTCTCGCAATGGATCAGGTAGGGGCACGATAACAATAAACAACAGGGGTGATATTCCTCAGGATTTTTCCTAATTTCAGGAACTTTTTGTCTGGATTTTTCCTGAAGTCAGGATTTTTTTTTGTCAGGATTTTTCCAGATTTCAGGATTTTGTGGGTCAGGATTTTTCCAGATTTCAGGGTTTTTTTTGTCAGGATTTTTCCAGATGTCAGGATTTTGTTGGTCAGGATTTTTTTTTTGTCAGGATTTTTCCAGATGTCAGGATTTGTTGGTCAGGATTTTTCCAGATTTCAGGATTTTGTTGGTCAGGATTTTTTGAGATTTCAGGATTTTTTTGATCGGGATTTTTCCAGATGTCAGGATTTTGTTGGTCAGGATTTTTCCAGATTTCAGGATTTTGTTGGTCAGGAATTTTTCCAGATGTCAGGATTTTGTCGGTCAGGATTTTTCCAGATCTCACGATTTTTCCAGATTTCGTGATTTTGTTGGTCAGGATCTTTCCAGATTTCAGGATTTTGTCGGTCAGGATTTTTCCAGATTTCAGGATTTTTCCAGATTTCAGGATTGTGTTGGTCAGGAATTTTTCCAGATTTCAGGATTTTGTCAGTCAGGATTTTTTCAGATTTCAGGATTTTTCCAGATTTCAGGATTTTGTTGGTCAGGATTTTTCCAGATTTCAGGATTGTGTTGGTCAGGATTTTTCCAGATTTCAGGATTGTGTTGGTCAGGATTTTTCCAGATTGCAGGATTTTGTTGGTCAGGATTTTTTGAGATTTCAGGATTTTTTTGATCGGGATTTTTCCAGATGTCAGGATTTTGTTGGTCAGGATTTTTCCAGATTTCAGGATTTTGTTGGTCAGGAATTTTTCCAGATGTCAGGATTTTGTCGGTCAGGATTTTTCCAGATCTCACGATTTTTCCAGATTTCGTGATTTTGTTGGTCAGGATCTTTCCAGATTTCAGGATTTGATGAAATTTTTTAAAGAATATCATTTGAAATTTGGAATTCCTGAGGGTTTTTTACCTATAAAATTGTATATACAACAAAAGAAGTGGTATTTTAAGGGGTGCTTTTTGGCAAATACAAATTTAAACGTATACTATGGACCCTACGTTGCGCTTTGACCCTCGGCGACCTTCATAGCCTCTGCCGATTATTTTGTGGATTTTTCATATTCCCCCAATCGCACCCCTGAGCTTGATCGGAAATATCTCGGAAGCTGCAGGCCAACGAATTCTTGTTCATGCACGAGTCACGTGATTGTACCATGTAATTTCTGGAAGTAGTGTTTTGAGTAAAAAAAACCCCAGATTTTTGACCCCAGTGACCCCATGATGACCTTTGACCTGAGTTTGATCATGTGACATGTTGGGCTGGGCTACTGATACTTTTGACAAAGTTTGGTTGAAATCGGTCAAAATTTGTAGGAGCAATAGACAATGTCAACGTTTATTACAACACTAACTAACTCTATGAAACGCGAACAATACAATAGTCAGCTTGGGAAGAACAAACCCCTATGGACAACGGCTCGCCTTGGCTTATCTTTTTTTTTATATTGTCGCTGGATTTATATCCAGTTATATTTGGTCTGCGGACTGGTTTGCGAATGTAGCGACACGATCCAGCTCTCTATCCGTGTAAAAATAAGAGCGTCCAAGACCAAGTACAGAATAATCAACTACCGAATAATAATCGTATATGAATTCACGTGCGAAGTCATTGCTGGAAATCTAGCGACAGCATAAAGAAAATATATCCCAATGCGATCCCTTTTTTCCAAGGCGTCCGCTAGCTTCCCCAGTCAATTTGCAGATTGTAGCCACAGACGCGTAAGGTCGCTGTTCGCGCTTCGTACATTGCATAGCTCTAGCGTATGGTTAGCGTTTATGTTATCAGCCAGCTACCATCACGGACAGTATCAACGAGTGCTTGGCCAAAGTTAGTTTTTATTACCAAAACCCCCTGTTTCAAACATTTATTGTTTGCAGATGATTTTACACCAATTTTTTTTTGTTTTGTTTTTGTTTTAGGCTTTGTCTTTGGAGGAGATCCAAGTAGGGGTCCAATTTAATAATCTTATCGTAGATGGTTTCCCGCCCTACATGGTCATGCTTCTAATCGACACTGTACTTTACCTACTGCTGGCCGTCTACTTTGACAACGTCATTCCAGGTACCAGACCTGCTGTCTTTCAATTTGTGTGCAGTACAATGAAAACTAAACATGAAGGGGTAAATCCACAGGGGATATTAAGGGAATGTACATCATTGGCTTTTGCTGTAATTTTCAGAAATGAACTATTTGAGGGGTTAGTATAATAGATCAAATACTGTTACACTGACAAGTTTGAAGTTTTGTGTTCGAAAATGCTGGAAAAACCAAGAGAAACAAATATGTTCAAGTAGTCTGGTTCCCTGACTCCACTAAAGATGAAATGAATCAATTTATTGATGCCCGAAAATTGTAAGGTAAGGAAACCAGTCTAGCTGGCCTGCACCCGTTCATGAACATGTAACCAATAGCAAACAAAATTTGGACTGAAAAAAGGTAAATTTGGAGCAGTAGTTGCAAAATAGTTAGGTTTTTCAGACGGTGGTCAGCCGACCACCGTAGGAAATTTATACAAAATACCACTTTTCTTGAAAATGACTTCTCACCAGGTGCCATAATTTTACAGGATGCTTTAGACTTTCATTTACCAACATCCTATTAAGGAATTTTGTAAAAATTTGGTAGTTTTGTTTTCCAATGTTTGCAAATGTTGTATATTCCCTTTAAGGGTGCGCTCGTTTAGCTCACCCGGGTCAACACAGGTTAGCCCTGTGCCGTTCGATTAGCTCTAACGTCATTCTCGGGGCTCACCCGGGTCAGCCACCACAGACCCTGCTCTCGTGGAGCAGAGTCACCGGTGGAAGTACCTCACGCTACTCACGCATGCGTTGTTCATTCCAAGAAACGGACAAATATAGCAGCCGGACAGCGGAAATCTCAAGTGGACTTAAAAGTTGACTTTATTTGAAGTCTAAAGATAATCATTTATTGAGTGCACTGCGACTTTTGAGGCTATAATTTCAGCCCAACTTTTTAGAGTTTTGCAATTGACTATAAACGCAGTCAATCTCAAACTAACACCCAATCCGAAACGGGCGTTTTGTCAGTGGCTATGGCCGCGGCTAAGGGCGTCACGTGAGGATCGTGATGGCAGGCGGATGAGCGTTCAATTAGCCCGGCTGTCGTGGCTGACCCAACGGCCGTGTTGACCTGGGTGAGCTAAACAAACGCACCCATTAAATGACACCGTCAGTAAGCCGGTTTGGGATCTCGATGGAGGAGTCCGGGTCAAAGGTCATGTGGGTTGAAATTGGAACTCTCTGATAAGTGGAATGGGCAGGCTATTCATATACCAAGAAGACCACTAGCAAGTGAATGCAGTCACAACCATGGAGCAAATTGGAGGATGTTCCACTTGTTTTCTTTAGCCTGTCTCACAAAAAATGGAGGGCTTAAAGGGAAGATACAAAATTTGCAAACATCAAAAAACGAAAGGATTACATTATCACGCAATATCTTACTGGATTGCTAGGGAATGATAGTCCAAAGCATCCTGTAAACTTGTGGCTCCTGGTGTGCTGACATTTTCAAGAAAAGCTGTATTTTTCCAATGCTGGTCGGCCGACCAGCGTTGGAGAAAACTGGCTTTTTTAAAAAAGTGCTCCTAATTTGCCTTTAACATTTTTGTCATGGTTGGTTTCAACTATCCGGCTTCCAACATTGAAATCGAGTAATGGAATTTAGAAAGAAAAAAAAACGGATTTGAATCCCACCATTAGTTTTGGAGAATTAGCTAACCCCCTTGTAGTTCCTCAAGACTTCCCTGCTAAATCCAACAGAATCCTACTGTGCCTTATTTTTCAGTTGTCTGCTGGATCCAACAGAGTCCAACCTGGTGTTATAATGCAGTTCAGTTGCCTGCTGAATCCAACATATTGCAATCAGGAATGTGTGGGCTCCATTGGGTATATGATATGGTTGTTTTTTGTTGGATTCAGTAGGGTTAGGGTTGTTAAGAAATGCCTGGGTAAAATGTTGGTTTTTTTTTGGCTTTCTATGATGACAGGGAACTACGGTCAGAACAAGGTCCCTTGGTTCTGCTTCATGCCATCGTATTGGCGCAAGAGCTCAATGGGAAACCTGGTGGACAGCCTCAGCGATCTGGAGACTATGCAACTCAACGGTCAAGACGATGTGGAACAGGTCTCTGCCGTGCTGAGGGCAAAAGCTGGCGTTAGGTAAAAATGGTTGGGTTGGGAAAGTTGAGGCGTTGCAACGAATCGAGATTTGCAATATTGAGTTATACATTATTCATGACACTGGGGGTGCTGTGGTCCAATGGTTACGGTGTTCAACTCGTGTGCCCTGGTACATGGGTTTTGAATCCTGACCGTGGGAAAATGGTGCTTGTGCTCTTGAGCAAGGCACTTTACCATACTTGCTTCGTCCTTTGGATGGGACGTAAAGCTGTAGGTCCCGTGTGTTGTGTAATGCACGTTAAAGAACCCAGTAACACTTATAGCTAAGATAAGGGGTTTGCCCCGGTGTTTCGGGCAGTGGCTGCAATATGCGCCGCAGCACCTTGTAAACCCTTACAAGGTGCTACATAATGGGTCTCATATTTCTCATAAACTTTGTTTGCCTTTCTTTAATAATTGGCATAATTTCCAGCGCCTTGAGTACCTAATTGTTGGTAGATACGTGCGCTGTATAAGACTCCGATATTATAAAACTAAAGGAAATCTGGGTTTTTCCCCCAATTATTTAAATAATTGAAATTAATCAGCAAGGAAGGGTGGCCGGTTAGAACCCCCATGGATCCACCCTTGAAATGTACCCTCGTGAACAAAAAGCATAGTTAAACAAACCAAAACAGATCCACCGGAACAATGCACAAAAAGTCTTTTAGTATCTTAAAATCTTCAAGTTCTAGACTAAAGCGCCTTTGGTTTTAAATGAAAAAAAAAATGTTAAGAATTTATTTTGAGGTTCAGAGCAAGTTCGGTTATTTGAAGGTTTGAATAAGTGAGCTGCGGTGCATTTGTACACACTGGTTTGCAGTAACTGTGTTTTGCAGTTTTCCAGCATTCCAAGTGTTCCAACTTTGAAAGTTCCAATTATCCAAGTGTTTCAATTTTCCAAGTGTTTCAATTTTCCAAGTGTTCCAACTTTGAAAGTTCCAATTATCCAAGTGTTTCAATTTTCCAAGTGTTTCAATTATCCAAGTTTTTAATTTTTCCAAGTGTTTCAATTTTCCAAGTGTTCCAACTGTCCAAGTGTTCCAATTATCCAAGTGTTTCAATTTTCCAAGTGTTTCAATTTTCGAAGTGTTTCAACTTTCCAAGTGTTCCAACTGTCCAAGTGTTCCAATTATCCAAGTGTTTCAATTTTCCAAGTGTTTCAATTTTCCAAGTGTTTCAATTTTCTTTGTGTTTCAACTTTCCAAGTGTTCCAACTGTCCAAGTGTTCCAAGTGTTTCAATTTTCCAAGTGTTTCACTTTTCTTTGTGTTTCAACTTTCCAAGTGTTCCAACTGTCCAAGTGTTCCAATTATCCAAGTGTTTCAATTTTCCAAGTGTTTCAATTTTCCAAGTGTTTCAATTTTCTTTGTGTTTCAACTTTCCAAGTGTTCCAATTATCCAAGTGTTCCAATTATCCAAGTGTTTCAATTTTCCAAGTGTTTCAATTTTCCAAGTGTTCCAACTTTCTTTGTGTTTGAACTGTCCAAGTGTTCCAACTGTCCAAGTGTTCCAAATCCAAAGATTCCAATTTTCCAAGATTTGAGATCTATTTTTCCATGTGACTGTTTACCTCGCCGTTGCATCTTAACTGAATGTCAAGCAGTTTCCTTGACGGCCTTTTAGTAATCCTCTGCAGTAAATTATTTTTAACATTTTTTTATTATTTTTCTCGCAGGATTCGCAATTTGTCCAAGACGTACAAAGGAAATGGACAAAACAACCCCGATATTCTTGCTGTCAGAGGTACGAGTTCTGATGAACATTTTGTTAAGATTTGGCAAAGATATGCGATAAAGTGGGTGCAAGTATGAATAAAACAAACAAATTGCAAACAAAGCAAGCAAATAATTACCGATGGTGTTGTGGATGGCTTGTTTATTGCAAGAACAGTACATGTACACACTGTTGGACCACTTCGCGCCGGGAATTTGCTTTGTGGAAAATATTTGTTTTTACAAAAGGCAACATTTTCCAGCCAACTTCTGAGGTACAGCCAAAACACCACAAATACTGATTTGCAAGGGTCAATTTAAAAAGTGTTTGTACGATCCACTGTATACTCAGTGACAGTTGACTATGGATCATTTCTATCAAGAGATACACTCAACCAAAAGAGAAAGTCCCCCCTAATCAGAGATGCCACCTTTCCGGTTTTAGCCGAAATTCCTTTTTTTTTTCGGCCGTCAAAATAAACTGGAAAAAGAGAAGAAACTCTGTTGAAATGCGATGATTTTTATCTCTTGGGCGCTCTCGAGTTTAGTACATTTAGGCACACACAAGGCACAACGCCTGTTCGTTGAAGTAGTCTTAAAAACAAGTCTTTGTTGTTGCCGAGCCTGCATGTGATACAGGGGGCCAACGTACTTGCACGCAGTATACAATGGCACCTCGCGTGTGCTTCACCGCGTGCGGGCGTGTTGTGTGCTAAGCACACAGAAATACTAAGTCCCAGAGCACACAAAATACTATTCAATTTGGGCGATTCACATGCAGTGGGCCACCAAGAGCTTGCCATGGAGAGTCAATTTTTCCCAGTGAATTGTGGGAGATGGTCGACAAATTCCCAGCGCGGGACATTTGGAATTGTTAGTTTTCCAGTCAGTAGTTTCGTATTAGCATATGATTCCAGTATAGATCTGTTTGCCCTTTTCTTTTCTTTTTATCAATATATTTTTCTTTTAAGGCGGCAGAACGCTATGCCTCAATCTATAACAAATTAGCTCTACTTGTGTACTGACGCTCATTTAAAGCTATAGTCCATTGTTTGTAAGTAGTGCATTTTGTTCGTTTGAAGCAACAAAAGTGTTCAAAATCTAATGAAAGATACTGAACAACTACTTGATGAAGTTTCAGCTCAGCTTCAGCTTCATATTCCAAGAAAAACAGTATTCTAGGATCTCAATTTAAAATCAAAAGTCGCTAAATCATGTTTCGAAGTGTTTTGAATTGCAGCTTTACGCGATGTCGCGCACTGATCCGACGAATTATAGCAATCGCGCGCGCCTGTGCGTCGTTCCAATGCTTGTGCGCGCTACGCCGAATAACAAAACGAACAACTAGTTTAAATTTTCCTACGGTGCTTCTTAATAACCACCGTTGGAAATGCCTTCTTTCGTTGATTTCTTCAAAATGAGAGCTTGCCAGAAAGGATAATTTCACAGGGAGTTTAGTCCCCTTACTATCTTTCAACCAGTATGTTTTTCAACAATAATTATGCTAGTTACTTTCTTGGAAATCTGCAAATGATGGACTCGGGCTTTAAATGGCCATGTTTTGTCGACTGTAAATTTGAATAAATTGGACTCTCCATGGCAAACTCTTGGCGGTGCACTGCATTGTGAATCGCCCGAAATTGTTTCAGGATTTGTATTCACTGGAAGTTTTCCAAAGTATCTGCTCTACAAAAGATTTAGCCCATTCATTTGCATTGCGGGGTAATCCTATACAATAGCACTGCCCGACTCACAAATGGCTGAGGACCCTAGGCTGGCACTCTGGGACCAGCAGAAATAAGTCAATCCTCCTGTGTGCCGTTAAAAAGGAATGAGCCTGGACATCTACGAGAGCCAGATCACCTTTAAATTTTCCAAGTGTTCCAACTTTCTTTGTGTTTCAACTTTCCAAGTGTTCCAACTTTCTTTGTGTTTCAACTTTCCAAGTGTTCCAACTTTCTTTGTGTTTCAACTTTCCAAGTGTTCCAACTGTCCAAGTGTTCCACTTTTCCAAGTGTTCCAACTTTCTTTGTGTTTCAATTTTCCAAGTGTTCCAACTTTCTTTGTGTTTCAACTTTCCAAGTGTTCCAACTGTCCAAGTGTTCCAAATCCTAATATTCCAACTTTCTTCGTGTTTCAATCCTCCTGTGTGTTGTTATTAAAGGAATGAGCCTGGACATCTATGAGGGCCAGATCACCTGCCTGCTGGGCCACAACGGGGCCGGTAAGACCACCCTGATCAACACCCTGACTGGCCTGATAACGGCCGACAGCGGCCAGGCCACCATCTGTGGCTACAGCATCCGGGATCCCATACAGATGCAGAAGATCCGGTCCATGATGGGGGTGTGTTCCCAGGACAACACGCTGTTTGATGTTCTGTCTCCGCGCGAACACCTCAAAGTGTACGCTGGACTGAAGGGCGTACCTTCACAGGAAATTGATATGCAGGTGAGAAGCATCTACAGCTTTTTACTTATAACCCTGTTCAAGGATATTCTAATTCTTCTTGTTATTTTTATCGTGTGCTTGGATACTGTGATTCCGTTGATCTAGAACGGCCACATGTCTGGTCTATCTGCTCTGTTCACAAGTACCCCCTCACCGGCAAAGAGAGTACAGTTGGGGGTGACCGAACGACGCCATCTTGCCTGACTGCAATTCATTTGCTGCGAAGCGCGGCCACTGCGTGTACATAGTACAAATCCCCTGGTGTACGTGCGTCACACACAAGGAACAGTGCGCATCAACCAGCGAAATGTCCCACCCATGGGACGTCGTTGCTATGTAAAAGGGCGCCCTCTTTTGGTAGCGCACGGAGCTCATACAGGCATGCAACTTTTCCTCGGATCCGCTGATTTCCTCATTTTTTTACTTCTCATGAATGCAATTACAAATTGAAAAACGCTGTCCAAAGTCTTGTGTGGTTCGGAATTTCCTCATTTTTGTCTAAATTCCCAGTTGCCTGGTTGTCTATAAAAACGCATGTCACACTTATCAGTGATATTGCACTGCGTTCATTGCATGCGTAGATCTGCGAGGGCGCTATCCCCGTGCAACAAGAGCTGCAATGTCAACCGCTAAGTCTCGTGTCTGGCAGGACATCAAAACTTTCAGTTATCAAAGGTTATATATCGCAGTGATTTAACTGATTTCTCATACAGTAAGTGACAACCATTTATCCGTTTGACTTATTGGCAGGATATAATAAAACAAGTGTTGACTGCTGTGATGTGGGATATGTTGTTTTTAACCCCCTCGGCACCCAGGGCGAATGTTATGCGCCCTTCGGGTACGTGTTAAAAACGTCATATCCCACATCACAGCAGTCAACAATTGTTAAATAGCCCATGGTCCAAGACTCAAATTGGGTTCACCTAACCGCCTCGGGTGCTATGTGCCCCTCGGGTGTTAAAAACGTCATATCCCACATCACAGCAGTCAACAATTGTTAAAAAGCCCATAGTCCAAGACTCAAATTGGGTTCAGCTAATCGTCTCGGGTGCTATGCGCTCCTCGGGTGTTAAAAACGTCATATCCCACATCACAGCAGTCAACAATTGTTAAATAGCCCATGGTCCAAGACTCAAATTGGGTTCACCTAACCGCCTCGGATGCTATGCGCCCCTCGGGTGTTGAAAACATCATATCCCACATCACAGCAGTCAACAATTGTTAAATAGCCCATGGTCCAAGACTTGAATTGGGTTCACCTAACCGCCTCGGGTGCTATGCGCCCTTCGGGTACGTGTTAAAAACGTCATATCCCACATCACAGCAGTCAACAATTGTTAAATAGCCCATGGTCCAAGACTCAATTTGGGTTCACCTAACCACCTCGGGTGCTATGTGCCCCTCGGGTGTTAAAAACGTCATATCCCACATCACAGCAGTCAACAATTGCTAAATAGTCATGGTCCAAGACTTCAATTGGGTTCACCTAACCGCCTCGGGTGCTATGCGCCCCTCGGGTGTTAAAAACGTCATATTCCACATCACAGCAGTCAACAATTGTTAAATAGCCCATGGTCCAAGACTCAATTTGGGTTCACCTAACCGCCTCGGGTGCTATGCGCCCCTCGGGTGTTAAAAACGTCATATCCCACATCACAGCAGTCAACAATTGTTAAATAGCCCATGGTCCAAGACTCGAATTGGGTTCACCTTACCGCCTCGGGTGCTATGTGCCCCTCGGGTGTTAAAAAGGTCATATCCCACATCACAGCAGTCAACAATTGTTAAATAGCCCATGGCCTAAGACTCAAATTGGGTTTACCTAATGCTTCTGTTTCCTGACAAGTCCAGACAAGCCACTCTCGACAAGATGAGTCAAATCCTGCCTTGGGAAGTTTGGCACTTGGATCCAAGCAATAGCTAAGCACACCTCATGTGTGCTATAGTCAAGCTAATGCACTTTTGTGACGTGTGCTCGGAAATTCTTGGGTCCAAGTGCCAAAGTTCCTAAGATTTGATTTGATTCATCTTGTCAATAGTGATCTATACTGCCACGTTGGCTTGACTGCGTTCACTAAGGAAGTAGACTGGCTACATTTAGGACCGAAAATAGAATGTGTACAGTGTGATCATTTATTGGGTTGTTTTTTTTAAGTTTGCATTTTTATTCAACCTTTCCTTTTCTCACAAGGTGGATAAAATCTTGAAACTCACCATGCTTGACGAGTCGGCCGACACCAAGTCTAAGGATCTCAGCGGGGGACAGAAACGCAAACTCTGCGTTGGAATCGCGCTCATCGGTGACCCCAAGGTGAACGAAAGAAACTAATTGGAATAATTGTTAGTTCTGATAACACTTTTTGAATCTAAAACATTTTGCAGTTGTGAGAAATGAAGAGATTGTGTCCTCCATTTTCTTCACGCTACAAGGAATGACAGAATTACTCATTTGGCGTTGATGTATCAAGCCAGCAGTTGTATGTGATATTCTCACAAGTATCCATGATGCAAAATTGATCCTAGGCATACGCGTTGTTGCGGAAACTCGTAATTTAACTTGTCTATTTTTTGGCCATCTGTCCACTGTCGCTACCTGTTCATCCCTCTTATCTTTTTAAATAGTACAGGGTGAGTCCAAAAAAACTAAACCCAAAAGTCGGGACCATTGTTTTAGTGAAGTCCTGCAGGTAGCACTTTCAAAATCTAGGATATAAAAGCCCCATTCATAAGCTTTCTTTTAGTATAATAATCTTTCAAATCACTCATGTACTTTTCAAGTTATGAAGTTTTAAACACAACCACCGTTTGAAATGCTGTCTGCAGATCACAAAAAAAGGTGCGCGTTCTTTGAGCAAAGCGAAAACAATTCACACACATCCCTATGTGATTTGTTTTTTGTTTTGCTGAAAGAATACTTACCTTGTTGTGATCCGTGGACAGAACTTTAAAACGGCGGTTGTGTTTAAAATTCCGGAACTTGAAAAGTGCATGAGTGATTTGAATGATTCTTGTACTGAAAGAAAGCTTTTGCATTGGGCTTTCATATCCTAGATTTTGAAAGTGCTACATGTAGAACTTCACTAAAACAATAGTCCCGACATTTGGGGGTATTTTTTTACTCACCCTTTATTGTTGCCGCCGGTCCACTGTGGTTACCTGTTCATTGGTGTTACGCTCTTGTCATCTTTTTATATAGTATTGTGCATGTGTATATATCTTCATCCCTAGATTCTGTTTCTTGACGAGCCGAGTAGCGGCATGGACCCCTACTCTCGCCGGCAGCTGTGGAATCTCTTGAAAAGCCAGCGACAGGGACGGATCATGGTGCTCACCACACACTTCATGGATGAGGCGGACATCTTGGCAGGTCAGAGGTCACGGTGATTCTTTTATTGAGCTTGAGGGGCGTGGTTTGATTTAGTCTACCTTTGAAGGGCCTGTCACATTATATGCGATCTCATAGGAGACCTTACGGCGACCAAAAATATTTTATAAATTTAACAATCGCAGCGAGGACGCAAGAAAATGACAACTTTCTGTCTCAAAGAAGCTCAAGCTACGCTCATACTGTGCTCTTCCCACGCTTACGATGCGCTCAACTGGCTCTCTATGCGCCCCTGTCAAGCTCAATTACTCGATCTAGTCGCTGCCGCTGCGCTGTCACTGCGCTCACACTACGCTATGCTCGCTGTTGATACGTCCTAGTAGCTTGCGTCGCGCTCTCTATTCGATTAAAATACGCTCATGTGACGTCACTTGCGCTGTATAAATACCAAGACAAAACGGTCAATACACAGTCCAGTTTCAAAATAATTCTACAAGTTCATCACAGTTGAGTTACTTTCTCATGGAGACTACATCGACTGTCTTGTGCCTAAGCTGCTTCAATGTCACTTCAATGTCGCACGATTCACGTTCGCACAGCGCCCGAGTTGCGTCATTACGGCGCCCTGGCCAGAGCGCAGAGGTGTTGCGATTGTTTTGAGCATGTTCAAAGACCTTGGCGCTCATCGGAGACCATTAAGACCCTCTGGCGCCCATCTGGCGACCTATGTAGTTGTCGCTGCGATCTAGTAGTTGTTGTTGCGCCCCAGCTATTTTTCAAGGACGCAGTGAGAGCGCATATAAGATCGCAGACAGTGTGACAGGGCCTTAACCAATTAGCTTTTGTATTACATTGTACCTCACTGTATTTACTCCTTGTTGAATTCCTTAAAACAATAGACCTTTATCGTGCTGCCACCATTTCAGTCATGTACCCTGTATCCAGTTACAGTCCTGAATGATAATGTTTTTTGTGCAAAAGGAACCAGACTCATTTTGCCTTCCAGCCTCGCTTTGGTTACGTTGATTTGAATGGGAAAAAAATCAAGATGGCTGCAACATGATAATGGTCTATAGGCTTTATTCACGTATGAGTCGGCCATATTACATTGAAAGCGAGGTAAAAGCTTCATTTTTGGAACTTGCAAATTTTAAATGAAAGTAGTAAAATAAAGTAAATTACAAATTAATACCAGTCTGCTCTGATGAATAATTAAAAATTTGTGATTAAAAATCTGCTAAGGTTTTAAGCCACTTTTAAAAATAAATATGAAAGTGAGGCTTGGAACGCATAAATAGTCTCGCGCCATCCTCTACAGTTTACAAGTCCTGCACCCGATTTCATCAAACTCTTCGTAACTTACGATGCATCGCAGCGCTGCGACGCGTCGTATCCCTACGATGCGTCGCAGCTGCGACGCGTCCTGCGATCCATTTCACGAAACACGTCTCAAGTGCAACACATCGTATGTGTATTTATAGCACAACTCGGTGACTGTTTTATGTATTTAGTCAGCGTACAGTAAATAGTCGTCTGATATTCAACAAAGAGTCGTAGGATCTCAGCTCGAAATTTGTTAAAACGTTAAACAAAATGGCGGTTGTGCGATGCAATTTTGAAGGAAAACAAGCTCTCAGTGGACTGTGTAGCTACTTTGAAATTTCAACTCTAATATTCCGATCTAATTCACAATTATTCAATGAATTTTCCATTTACAACTTTACACACATTGCCTCGGCATTAAAATCTCGTTAATGTAATTTTTATGGCATAAAACTGGCTTAGAAATGACTCTTCTTATTTTGCGATGACCACTAGACACATCTTAACTTGCGACGTGTTTTAAGCCGTTGTCAAGGAACTTACGACGCGTTCAACATATCGCAACTTTCGTGAAATGGAAGATACGACGCGTCGTGAGTTACGACGTGTTACACGTCGCTTCGTGAAATCGGGTGCAGTTTACACATACTTGATTTTGTCGCAACGACTATGTCGCGCGGCAATTTCGCACACGCGCGTGTGTGAACGAACAAATACGTCATATGTTGCGCGATATTTTTAATTAGGGCTCAAGGATATCGTAACGTGGCAAATGCCTCCCATATGTTGTCCATTCTTTCGATGTCTTTGTATTTCTGCACCCCGGTAGTGATTTTTTTCGTCCATTCCGTACAACCAATCAGTTCAGGCACTTGTGACATACGTAAGCAATGGTTTTTTTTGTCGCGCGATCATAAGATCAAATCGAAATTTGATTTTAACAAATCGTGCAATATGTCGCAAGACTTTGTCACGTAAATGTAAACGTGCTCATTGTTTGTGCATATATATATAAAAACGCATGACATTATCGCGCGAGAAAATCCCTTATGCGTAAAAAAAAAATCAGGGAATGCAATAAAAATGGCTTCTTGTGAAGAAGGTCTGTAGACCATTATCATGTTGCGGCCATCTTGATTTTTTCCCATTCAAATCAACGTAACCAAAGCGAGGCTGGAAGGAAAAATAGTCTGGTTCCTTTTTGCATACAAAGCATTATCATTCAGTACTGTTATTGGATACAGGGAACATGACTGAAATGGTGGCAGCATGATAAAGGTCTATAGAGTGCTTGGGCAGTTTGAGGCGGTTTAAGCAGTAACCAGCAGGGCACTTAGGGCCGGAACAGGCACTAATGGGTTGATGACTGTAGTAGTCAGAAGTATATTTAGAACACAAATGCCCGTAAAGGCCAAAGCTTTTACCCGGTACTGTAGTCATAGTTTCTTCTGCCTTTGATGTGCAGATCGTAAGGCCATGATGTCATTGGGGCGTCTCCGTTGCTATGGGTCTTCCCTCTTCCTGAAAAACAGATTTGGCATCGGATACCACCTTGGGTGAGTCTTGTCCATCAATGCTTCTACTTCCTGACTAAGTTGAAGGCACTGATCCGCCCCTTGAAGTCCTCGTCCTCCTTAAAGCATCCTCATTGAAATCCCCCCCCCCCCTCCTTGAAACTCTTTATAGTCTGCCCCCTCCCCTCCTCCTCCTTCAAGCCCCGCCCCACCTCCTCCTTCAAGACCGGCGGTTCATTGATCACATCCTTGTAGCAGGTTAAAGGGAAAATACAACATTTGCAAACATCAAAAAATAAAACTATCAAATCATTTTGAAATACCTTGCTGGACTGTTAGTGAATGACAGTGTAAAGCATCCTGTAGAATCATGGCACCTGGTATACTGTCATTTTCAAGAAAAGTGGTATTTTTGTATCAATTTCCAACGCTGATCGGCCAATCAGCGTTGGAAACAACTGGCTCTTTTTTCAAATACTGGCCCCAATTGACCATCGCACTTGTTTGCAATCGATTACAAATCTATGAACGGGTACGAGCCAGCTAGACTGGTTCCCTGACCTTACAATTCCCCAATGTATGTAAACTGCTCTGTTTCTTCTTATATGGAGTCAGGGAACCAGATTACAGAAAAATGATCGTTTTTCTTGGTTTTTATAGCATTTTCGAACCCAAAACCTCAAAAAAGTCAGTGTAACTATATTTGCTATATATTTCCAACCCCCCAATTCCATCCATTTCTGAAAATTACAGCAAAAGCAAATGATGTATATTCCCTTTAAAGCCCTTTACGGTTTATAAGTAAGATTTGAGGCTTTGCATGGTGGAGATACTAAATAATGAAAGGTTGCGGAAACACCATGTGCGAATAATTTCTCAACTAAGAGAATGGTTCTGAAAAGAACCAGAGGTATAAACTCTCTTGAGTTTATACCTCTGGTTCTTTTCAGAACCATTCTCTTAGTTGAGAATGGTTCTGAAAAGAACCAGAGGTATAAACTCTCTTGAGTTTATACCTCTGGTTCTTTTCAGAACCATTCTCTTAGTTGAGAAATTATTCGTACATGGTGTTTCTAAAAAGAACCTTTCATTATTTACGGTTATATAGTTATCACAAAATAAATAATGAAAGGTTTGCGGAAACACTATGTGCGAATAATTTCTCAACTAAGAGAATTCACTTTTGTTACTGAAGTGTTTACTTTCTTAGAGTTTAGGCACTCTCCTGAAGACGGTCAGAGCATACTGACCGGAACGTCGAGTTTATACCTCTGGTTCTTTTCAAAACCATCTTAGTTGTGAAATTATTCTCACATGGTGTTTCCGCAAACCTTTCATTATTTAGTATCTCCACCATGCAAAGCCTCAAATCTTACTTATCACAAAATACTCGGCTTCATATCAGTTGCCGAAACATTTTAACTGCTATTCTCTTTGTGCAACTTTGTACCGGCGCAGGACGCAGTTGCAGCTGGTAGTTTCGAATATCCGAATATTTGGTCAAATGCAGTTTTGAGTAATCGAATACTACAAAATCGGAAATGGACAGCTCTATTCATTTGAACATTGATGCTACAGCAAGAATCTTCCTCACTATTTTATGAGTGCTGATGGTTTGAAAACAATCAAGTAGGAAAGAATGTAGTATCCAGACGCCACTTCAGCGATTGTGTTTCCTAACAAAACTGGAAATGTTTCTCAGTCCCAGATTCATGTCTTTTCAACATTTTTGCAATGACTGACCTTTAGGCCAAAAAAAAAGAAGTCTCCAGTTTCTGGTATAGAGCTTGCCCAAAAAGTGGTGCGGCGACGTGGCTTTTTTTTTTTTTTACCTGATTTTTTTGCTTCAAATGTCGGCTGATGACTGCAAATGGTGCCCGACTAAACTTAGTGCAAATATATTGGAGTCCAGAGAGGCCACATAAAGCTTATTCTCGACCATAACCCAATCTAAAAACACATTAAAGTTGTGCAGCAGCAGGATTCCAGTCAAACCAGTGAGTTTGGCGGTTTTGAGACATCATCTTTCATTGAAAAAGAACTTATTCATTTTGACGATGCGCATGGCTACGGCGACGCGCGCGCATACCAGAAACCAGAGACTTTTTGGGGGGGGCCTTATGAAGACGACATGTGAAGAAAAAAGTGGCGTCAGGTTGCAACATTCTTTCCATATAAAAAGTACAATCATCCTTATAGTGTGAGTTGTAATTTAATAATTTTTTTATTTTATTTTGTTTTGCTTTTCCTAGCATGGTGGTAAAGAAGAGCGCTCACATTGACAAAATCACGGAGCTGGTGACAACCCACGTCCCGGAGAGTGTGGTCTCCCGCAGTCACGGCATGGAACTGGCCTATACCCTACCAATACAGGATGCTAACAAGTTCCCTGGTACAAAAATCCCTCGAAAAAATGTTGATGTATTCGGTTGAGTCCAGAATGAATTAGAATGCATCGAATTTATCATTGATATGTTAATGATGGTATGGTTCGATGGTCAGAGCGGGAATTTTGAATTGGTAGTTGTATGTGATGCTAGCGGAGAAACGCGTCACTTCACGCTTGCTAGCAGCAACGCAACACAGGTTATTTATTTAATTATATGCTATTGTAATGGCTAAAGTCATTCTATCTTAAAATACGTTGTTTTAAGAACCTCCCATTATCATTGCTTAGCTAGCCTGAGAGCGGTGGTCAGCATAGGTCAGTGCATACGTTTCCACTTTTTCCAAAAAGGTTTGTGGTTTTTCGTATCTGGCGATCACCAAAAGCAATGGGTTGAATTCACAGTTTGTTATGTTGATATATATCTCGATGTATATCGTGCAAAATTATCATAATAATGATGTGTATTGGAGAAGTTGAAGAAACAAGTGTAGGCTAATTAAAGTACCTGTTGCTGCAGCTCGCACAATCCCAAATTAATGAGTATAGTGTGTTTTGTTTGTTTATGATGATTTAAATGATAACTAATAATTATAATAAAGTGTATTCTTTTGTAAAAAAAATCCCAGTAGTATTTAAAGTTTGAAAGGGAATATATATAACATTTGCAAACATCAAAAAACAAAACTACCAAATTATTATGAAATACCTTACTGGACTGTTAGTGAATGACAGTCTAAAGCATCCTGTAAAATCATGGCACTTGGTGTGCTGTCATTTCCAAGAAAAGTGGAATTTTTGTATCGATTTCCAATGCCATCGTTGGAAAAAAAAATGCTTTTTCCAAATACTGCCCCCGGTTTACCAAATTTAGTTAGTTCACATTTTGTTTGCAATCAGTTACACATCCGCGATGCCAGCTAGTCTGGTTCCTTGACCTGAGACAATTCCCCGACATCTATAAATTGCCCCGTTTTGTCTGAAGTAGGGTCAGGGAACCAGACTACAAGAACAGCATTTCCTTCTTGGGTTTTTCCAGCATCTATGAACACAAAACTTTGAACAGGTCAGTGTAACAATATTTGCTATAACTATTTACCCCAAAATCCATCAATTTCTGAAATTTACAGCAAAAGCAAATGTTGTACATTCCCGTTATTATAAAAGTGGAATTATTAAAAAGAAAGTAAAAATGAAATCTGAAAATATTGACACTCTGTGACACACAGATCTCTTCCAAGCCCTTGAGTCTGATGCTGGCATGCAAGGCGGCACGGTTGCCAAGCAACTGGGCATCAAGTCATACGGGGTTTCCATGACGTCGCTGGAGGAAGTCTTTCTGAACATCAGCGACGAGGAGAATGAAGAGAATGAGCCGATTGAGGAAGCAGATATTGTCCAGACATCAGGTACAGTAGGGCCAACAAACAACCCATGAAATATGCCATTGGAAGCTTGGTGCGCAATTTGTTTTTGTGTCGCCAAAACAAAGTTTTGGGGGACGCTTACCAGTCCGAAATTCTGTATCTCCGTATGACCGGACGTTTCAGCAGATGGGAGTTCTGGGGTACTTGCATTTTTGTCCTTTTATCCCTTTTTCTAAAGATTTCACTTGTGGGGTACCGTTTTTTTTTTTTAAGATTTCACTAGTAGGGTACCGTTTTTTTTTTAAAGATTTCACTAGTGGGGTACTGTTTTTCTACAGATTTCACTTGTGGGGTACCGTTTTTCTCAAGATTTCACTTGTGAGCACCATTTTTCTACAGATTGCACTTGTGGGGTACCGTTTTTCTACAGATTTCACTTGTGGGGTACCGTTTTTCTACAGATTGCACTTGTGGGGTACTGTTTTTCTAAAGATTGCACTTGTGGGGTACCGTTTTTCTAAAGATTTCACTTGTGGGGTACCGTTTTTCTACAGATTTCACTTGTGGGGTACCGTTTTTTCTAAAGATTGCACTTGTGGGGTACCGTTTTTCGACAGATTTCACTTGTGGGGTACCGTTTTTCTACAGATTTCACTTGTGGGGTACTGTTTTTCTACAGATTTCACTTGTGGGGTACTGTTTTTCTAAAGATTGCACTTGTGGGGTACCGTTTTTCTATAGATTTCACTTGTGGGGTACTGTTTTTCTAGAGATTGCACTTGTGGGGTACCGTTTTTCTACAGATTTCACTTGTGGGGTACCGTTTTTCTAAAGATTGCACTTGTGGGGTACTGTTTTTCAAAAGATTGCAGTTGTGGGGTACCGCTTTCAGCCACTTGTGGGGTACTCGTACAAAGGGAATGGTACCCCACAAGTAAAATCTTTAGAAAAACGGTACCCCACAAGTGCAAACTTTAGAAAAAGGGATAAAAGGACAACAATGCAAGTACCCTGGAACTCCCATCTGCTGAAACAGACGGCCGTATCCCCGTTTAACTGTACTGACCAGGACCACTTGTATCCCACAAGTGAAATATTTAGAAAAAAGGGATAAAAGGACAACAATGCTCCTACCCTACAAGTCCTTTTCCGTGATAGCGTCCGTATCCCCATATTCCCCGGGAGGGAAGACACAATTCTCCATCGGATTACTGAGGTCAGAGGTCACGTAGGGGTCATTAGAGGTCATTGTTCAATTATGCTTCAAATGTTTCTTGTTTACAGAATTTGATGGATTTTAATGTAACTTGGCTGGAGTGATCCTTGGGTGGGGGTTCATATCAAGTCTTTTGAAATTGGAGGTCAAAGGTCATTTGAGGCCATTTAAAAATGCACAAAAATTGACCTTTTTAAAGATTTACAAAACATAGGGATCGACCACCGAAAAAGGCGACCTCATTGTTGACCCCGTTGCGTTCAATGTAGCAAGGTCTACTGCATGCGAACCCACCATCTGTGGGCACACAAAGTTTGACCTTTGCAGGTGTGAACTTTGACCTTCTGTTCATCTCCCCGTTCATTAAAAAAAAAACAGACATTGCACCGATTAACCCAGGACGCAGTAGAAACTACAAGTCGATGGGAGACCAGTCGATGGCCCTGAATGTGGAGCATTTGATCACCAAGCCGTTGCAGCCCGGCAAGTACCAGATCAGGGCGTTGTGTAAACTGGAGTTCCTGCAGATGCTGCGCAACCCCAGAGTGAGTTGAAACGTTACAATCTGTGGAAATCGCAGTGTTGTAGTCGAGCTGCTTGTCAAGTCCATCGCAAGTCCATCACAAGTGCGTTACAAGTCATCTAGCCCCAACTCAATTCCCAATCAAACGGTGACAACGGCTTTCCTTTCTCATCGTTGACTTGTGAATTGACTTGTGATTTACTTGTGAAAGCAGTAGCGTAGCTAAAAGAAATTTTATTCGTGGAGTGGGGGGAGGGGTCTCTTTTGTTAAATCTTTGAAACCAGACGTGCCTAAATGGTTTCAATTGACGATTGAATTGTAGATCGAAATGTGTGAAATAATTCACTGTGCCCATGTAGAAGTGTGGCACAAAACAGTCGTTTGATTGTACTTTTATAACGCTCACACTGCAAAGCTATCACACATTTTCTATTTAAAACTCTATATGTTCATACTTTGCCAAAAATCGCTATGAGCATTGCTCCTTTCGATCATTTGATACCGGTGGCCCAATTTTTGGACCGAAGCTGACAGCCTACAACTATAAAAATAGTTATAAGACATTGCAGTAAGTTTTCGGTATTTTTTACACAAAAAAAGTGTCGTTAATGTCATGAAACATTGCAGTCGTACGTCACAGGTCTTTTAAAGGGACATAAAGTACTTTAAGTTGTTCTTATTTCATCTTGCAGACGTACATATTCCGTCTGCTCTTTCCCATCGTCCTCCTGGTAGCGTGTGCCATTGTGACCGGCGTGGTGCAACCTGATGATGGTATAAACAAAGACCAGCCGGAATTGGCCCTTGACCCCACACTGTACCTGAAAACAACGGCCTCATCGCCGCTGAGTGGTCTGACGAAGTTGCTGTACCAGAACAACTTGACTAGTGGTCAGGGTAAGGCAAAAAAGAAAATGTAGTAGCCTCCATACCTTAAAGCTATAGCCCATCATTTGCAGCCATCTGAAAAGTAACTGGCGTAATTATTGTTGAAAAACATACCTGGTTGAAAGATAGTAAGGGGACTAAACTCCCTGTGAAATTATTCTTTCTGGCAAGCTGTCATTTTGAAGTAATCAACGAAAGAAGGCCTTTCCAACGGTGCGTCTTAAGACACACCGTAGGAATATTTAAATTAATAGTTCGTTTTGTTATTCGGCGAAGCGCGTGCAAGCACTGGCAAGACGCACACACGCACTGGCAAGACGCACACACGCGCGCGGTTGCTATAATTCATCGGATCAGTGCGCGATATCGCGTATAGCTGCAGTCGGCTCAGTGAGAACGCGTCTCGGACGCTGAATTCAGGCCCAATTCAAAACATGATTCAGCAACTTTTGATTTGAAATTGAGATCCTAGAATGCTGTTTTTCTCGGAATATACAGCTGAAGCTGAGCTGAAACTTCATCAGGTTAGTTCTTCAGTATCCTTCATTAGATTTTGAACACTTTTGTTGCTTCAAACGAACAAAATGCACAAATTACAAATGATGGACTATATCTTTAAATAATTGCTATGACGTCACAGTATTGTTAAAAGTGTGGATTGGGAACTTTGAATCTGTTGCTCTGGTCAAATAGTGTGGATTCGGAACGATTAAACCATTGCTATGACGTCACACTATCGATTGCTAAAAGTGTGGATTCGGAACTACAAATCTGTTACACTGGTCACAAAGTCTGGATTTGGAATTACGAATCTGTAGTAAGGTGTTACGAATCCACACTTTGAACGTGTCGGACAATTGTTCTCCTTAATGAGCATTAAAAGGAGACGCATCCTTGGACATTTCTTTAGTAAATCAAGTTTTTTTATTCGGCGAAGCGCAGGCAAGCGTTGCTGTAATTCGTCGGTTCAGTGCGCGACATGGCGTAGCTGCAATAGGCTCAGTGACTACGTGTCTCGGACGCTGAATTCAGGCCCAATTCAAAACATGATTCAGCTGAATCGTGATTTTAGAATGTTGTTTTTCTCGAAATACACAGCTGAAGCTGAGCTGAAACTTCATCAGGTTAGTTGTTCAGCACCCTTTAGATTTTGAGCACGTTTGCTGCTTTAAATGAACAAAATGCACAAATTACAAATGATGGACTGCATCTTTAAGTGTAGAGCACAAATTTAACAGTCAGAAAGATTAATCGTTATACAGCAATGTTCATTGAAAAGTTTCAACAGTAGCATTGCCATTTAACGAGTAATAATTAACTAAAAAATAAGATGAATATGGATAAGTAAAACCGGTAATCTAAAAATGCTACAATCTCCTCTGCAGACATCGAGCTTCTCAAGAAGGAATTTGAACGCATGAAATTGATCAGTGACGAAATCACCGATATGAGTCTAGTGAATTCAAAAGCTCCGCGTAGCATGGCTACTGTGGCGAATGACTTGGGTACAACTGTAAGTACATAAAGTATATGCACTACTATCGTTACATCTAGATAGGCATCTCCATAACTGTGATTTATTTATTAGCGGTAAAACTATTGGATTATTATGGCTGTAAGAAGGCGTTTCATTTTTTTTCAGCTATCTTTCAGTTTTGGGTAGGTATTACAATAATTGAGGGAATTTTTTGACAAGAAACCCACAGCTCATTAGCTATTTAACAATACAGGGTGAGTAAAAAAAAAATAAAGAAACCCAAATGTCGGGACCATTGTTTTAGTGAAGTTCTACATGTAGCACTTTCAAAATCTAGGATATGAAAGCCCAATTCATAAGCTTTCTTTCAGTACAAGAATCATTCAAATCACTCATGTACTTTTCAAGTTACGGAATTTTAAACACAACCACCGTTTTAAAGTTCTGTCCACGGATCTCAAAAAGCTAAGTGCTCTTTCAGCAAAACGAAAACAAATCACGTAGGGACGTGTGTGAATTGTTTTCGTTTTGCTGAAAGAACGCACAGCTTTTCTGTGATCCGTGGACAGAACATTGAAACGGTTGTTGTGTCTAAAATATCGTAACTTGAAAAGTACATGAGTGATTTGAATGATTCTTGTACTAAAAGAAAGCTTATGAATTGGGTTTTCATATTCTAGATTTTGAAAGTGCTACATGCAGAACTTCACTAAAACAATGGTCCCGACATTTGGGTTTCTTTTTTTTGACTCACCCTGTGCTTGTTGACTGCTGTGATGTGGGATATTACGTTTTGAACACCCGAGGGGGGCATAACACAAGAGGCGAAGCCGAGGGTTCTGCATGTATGCGCCCTGAGGAGGTTAGAAACGACATATCCTACATCACTGCAATCAACAATTGCTTTGTTATATCGTGCCAATAACTCAGATAGATAAATGGTTGTAAGGTACTGTGTGAGAAATAAATTGAATCACTGCGATGTAACCTTTGATAACTGAACTAGGTCCAAAACTTCAACATTTGATCAAAATTTAAAATTCACACATTCAAACATTTCATATGTTTCAAATTCACTCCTATTGAATGAAATATGCACTGACATGTGAATATTCAAACCTTCATGATATTCAAATGTATTAGAATTGACTTGGGGTTGAATAGAAAAATCAATGGAGATTTGAAGTTTTCAAATGTAATCATATATTCAAATGTATGTAGATTATTCAAATGTATGTAGATTATTCAAATTGACTTTGCTCAATGCCGGTTTGAACCACCCCCAGGGCAATGCACCAGCGTTCCTGGCACTGTATAACAGCACAGCCCAGCACTCTATCCCCGTCATCTTAGGGTTGCTGAACAACGCCATCGCCCGCCTGCAGGCGCCAGGCAAGGATTTGAAAGATGTGATCATCGCCAGCAAGCCCTTCCCTAGGCAGATTTTCGGAGCGACGATCAATTACACCTTCCTCTTGGTTCTGCTAGTGGCTTTATCCGTCAGCCTGCTCCCCATAGGATTTATCACTGAGGTTGTGAAACTCAGACAGGTATGTGAGGAATAACAACCTCTTTGTATCCCCCTGGCTTATAAGCCAAGAAAGGGGGATTTCGCAGGTGTATTCATTTCCATCTGTTTGTCTTTGTGTTTCGTGTTTATGGTGTAAATCGAGGACACACACGTGCAACATCATAGATAAATCGAGGACAGAAACCGAATCGAGGACTCTTTGGTTGGAAAACGTGTATGCAGTCAATGAGAGCTGTTGCAAGTATAAACAAAGGGAAAGGGAAGAGGAACAATAGAAAATCCTCAATTTACACCATAGACAAACCAATGTGGCCGTGTGTCTGTCTGTACTTGTTCTACATAACCCCCGAGGACAGACACACAAAGGGAGAACAACAGATCCTTTCAGTCCTTGGGAGTTGGGTCTTTTGTTCAAAACGGTCCTCTGTGGTAGGTTTGTGTGCTTAGTCTATGGGAGAGTGTTATATTACAGGGACAAAGGAAAACACAAAGCATTGTCCTCGGGAGTATAGTAAAACGAGAGTCTGTGTCCGCGTTTGTTTATGGTGTAAATCGAGGACACACACGTGCAACATCATCGATGAATTGAGGACAGAACCAACTCAAGGACGATCGATTAGAAAATGTGTTTAAAACCAATGAGAGCTGTTGCCAAAAAAGTATAAACAAAGTTGATCTCTTTTGTATCTGCAAAAACAAAACAGGAGAAGATACGCACCCAGCTTCGCGTCTCGGGGGTCAAAATGACCCATTACTGGGCCTCCCACCTGCTGATAGACGGCAGCCAGCTGTATCTGATTGCTGCCGTTGGTATCGTCGTCAATCTGGCCACAGGCTTCGCAGTGGGTGGCTCCGCGTTCACCACAGCAGGGGCAATCGTCTGCCTCATTGTCTTCATAATCTTCTACATTCCCTTGGAGGTCCTTTTCTGCTACTGTCTCAGCTTTCTCTTCAGGGAGTTCAAGACGACCCAGTCGATGGCTCAGTTTTTTTACATATTCGTAAGTACATATGTAAATTCAGAAAAAAAAAACATTATTGAGTACTTTTCGAGTACTGCTATCCCAAAATTTTGAGTAAAATTAGCGTGTTCGATTACTCCCCCCGCGCTTTCTTGTGCCTCTAAATCGGGGAAAGTTGTACATGTGCAATACATGAGAGTAATTAAATGAACGATCTCGGGTCACTCGACGACATACGAGTGACAAACGTGGTCGTAATGAATTACAAACGTTAAATATCGGGGCCCATTTTTAAAGTGAATTGGTTTTAAATAATTATATTGAAGGTGACATGCTTGACTGAAGCCATGCTGCTTCAGACACACTGTTAACACAATGTCTCAATATCCACCCATCATCTAGAGTTGTTTTTGAACTTCCCAACGCTGGCCCACCGCTGGTGCATTGCCGCACATATTACCCGCAAACTTTCCGGTGAGCTTGCCTGCAAGCTTGCTGCAAGTTTGCCGCAAGCTTGCCGCGAGCGTGCAAGCTTGCCGCGAGCGTGCAAGCTTGCCGCGAGCATGCAAGCTTGCCGTGAGCTTGCCCTAATTTAAATACATGTATTTGGAACCTTACACGCAAGCTTGCATGCAAGCTTGCTGCAAGGTTACTGCTAGCTTGTTGCAAGCTTGCAAGCATTTCTGTAAGGGATGGGAGCCATGTTTTAGCACAGTCTTATTTTTGATGGGATACTTTAATACCCAAGTAACCGGCTCAGCAGGTCAGTTGCTTGGGCCAGGCTCGAGTTTAATCGAACGCAGTCGCGCTTGCATGAGTGAACGCGGAAAGTAATTGAACACGCTAAATGTATTTTCATGTGTAGTGGGCATGATGGCAAAATGCATACGCCGACACAATTAATTTTTACCGGTTATACGCTTGTATCTTGCTTGAAACCAGTGAGTTTTATTCAATTCCGGCTAAAAAGGGATAAGATTTCAAGCGTTGTATATCTAATACAAATATCCTCAGTGGAGGACACTTATATTATAAAAAGAAAAGAAAACCCAGGGTTCTAATAATTACAAAACAATTAAAACAATTAATACAGTGAATATATAAGGGAAACAAAAGGGCCTATCTTGATCCGTTGTTGTAGACTTGCTTGACGGGACTTGCTTGACTTGACGAAACTTGACGGGACTTGCTTGACTTGGAGACTTGACTTGACTTGACTTGACCGAAATAGTAGACTAGCTTGGCGGAATTCTTTGACTCGGTGCTGAGGGAAACTTGAAGACTTCACATGAAGACTCTCAATGCTTTAAACAATGAGATGAAGACGACTGGACGAAAGGGGTCCAAAAGGATATGTCTATACCCCTTCTCTAGCTGTCAGTTGATGAATGGAAAAGGCTCTCAACTGTCCAGTTATAAAGCACTCGTGCCCTTCGTTCCTAGAGCAGGACAGAGGATGAATATATGAATATGGCAGATTCAGCTGGAGGGTTACAGAGACAGTTTAAACAGTGGAGCTGGTCGCTGCCAAACAACACGTCTCTGTTAATTGCAGTTCAGTGGTCAAGTCAATATAAATATTAACTTCATAAAATACTAAGCAAATGGAATCTACAAATAAGCAAAAGTGAAAGTCCCTTTAAACAATAGGCTGTGTGTAACGTTGTCATGGTCACCAGTGCTGGTCAATGCCCTCTTCCACTAGTGTGCGTACTACATAGGTTGGTCTTACCCAGAAGTGAGTAAGGTACCCCCAAGGACATTATACCAAGACCAATGCCTCAGGCATGACAAGGTTACACCTGTTGCATCATAACACTTAAAACAATTCAGGGAATACGAATGACTCATAATAAGAAAGTAAAAGTTGACCAGGATGGAGAATACCAAGATCCTGAATAATCAAATTAATCTTAAAACAAAAAGGAATATAGAAGATGAAAACTTGGATATAGAGAAAATTTTTAAAAAAGGCTAGCTACTGAAACAAACTAAACTAAGATAAAACTTAAAAGGCTATACTAGATATATCAAGTAAAATGAATACACTTATCAAATGATCAAAGAGAACTGTTACAAATTCACAGAAGTTGTACTAAGGAAATTATTCCTCTTTTCACTCTAGTCAAAAGTAACTGGGAATGATTATAAGATAGCTGATTGTCTTTTGGAATATGCCAAAAAGTTTACTGCAATTGACTTTACTGCAATTGACTCTCTCCAATATCAACGGGTATCTGTGAGGATAGAAGCTTCATCACGCTGACCTCAAGCTTCTGCAAGAAAGTGGTCTCATGGCCTGATGAATGGGGATAATATTCTGGAATGCCTTGGCTAGATATAATTACCATGCTACCGGTTGTTTGTTTCTCCATTACACTTGCAGTTACCCGTCATTCTGATGACTATTGTACTGATATTTGATGCCACAAACTCCCAGGCTGTTGCCATGATTATGCATTACGTAATGTGCGTCCTGTGGCCACCCTACATTATCTTTGGTGAGATGTATTACTTCAATCAGGTAAGAGAGGCTGGGAAAACAAAAAATTACTGATTATAAACATTTGTTGATTTAAAGGTTGCGTCCATCATTTGTAATTTGTGCATTATGTTCGTTCGAAGCAACAACAGTGTTCAAATCTAAAGAAGGGTGCTGAACAACTAACCTGATGAAGTTTCAGCTCAGTATATGCTGTATATTCCGAGATAACAATATTCTAGTATCTCGATTTCAAATCAAATGTTGCTGAGACATGTTTTGAATTGGGCCAGAATTTCAGCGTCCGAGACACGTTCTCACTGAGTTGATTGCAGCTGCGTGATGTCGCGCACTCAGCTGACAAATTAAAGCAACCGTGCGTGTGTGTGTGTCGTCGAAAAAAGAAACAAACTACTCAAGGAAATTTCCAACAATGCGTCTCTAGAGGCATTGTTGGTAAGGCCTTCTTTCATTGATTTCTTCAAAACGACAGCTTGCCAGAAAGAATAATTTCACAGGGAGTTTTGTCCAATTACTGTCTTTAAACCAAGTATGCTTTTCAACAATAATTACGTCAGTTACTTTTTGGATAGCTGCAAATGATGGACTGTACCTTTAACAGTTGATGACTGCTGTGATGTGGGATATGGCAGGTTTTTTAACACCCGAGGCTGAGGGTGCTTTACGCCCCGATGGGGTTAAAAACGTCATATCACAGCAGTCAACAGTTGTTTTGTGATATCGTGCCTAAAGCCAAAAAGATCGTAACTTACTAGAAATGAAATGAGTCACTGCATTGAACCCTTTTGATGCCGGCGAGCTTTACTGGGTCACTTTAAACTGCCATTCATAAATACCGAGGACAGTTTACCCATTCCTATTGGTCGAGAGCCCGTCACGTGGATGGTTTTAAACGGTTGGCAAAACACCAACTGGTTTGAAATCCTTTTTTTTCCCAGTGTCCAATCAATTTGGACTCTTGTGAAATCTGGTCCCTTTGACTCTTTTATTGGTTGAACCCGATCACACGTGACCACTCACTCTCCATATTATCTTCATGTAGGTATGCGCAATACTACACACTGGCACTGCTAAGTTCTCCAATCTCCATATAAGGAGATTTGTAGTACTACTCGCAAGAGGCACATACCATAACCATAGCTAGAGGGGTGTTTCATAAAACATGCAGTAAAATGGTTGAACAAAATCATTGGAAATTTATAATTTTTGAATTGTTTTGACTTTCTGAACGAACACTATTTACGAATGGGAATGAATATGTGCTTGGCTGGTATTAAACAAGTATCCTTGATCTACCAGTTTTCGGAGAATAATCTATGGTTTTTTGTTTTGTTTTTTAATCAACTTAGATCTATGATGGTGCGAAGTTCAACAAACAATTGGATCAGCTCACCTTCGGTTACTATCTTGACTTTAATCAAAAAATTCTGCCAACCATTATCTGTGTGAGTAGCACGTTTGTCATTCGCAGTGTGTTCCACTTTAATACACAAAGAAATCGCTGTCTGTGGCCATAACATTTGCCCAGACGCTAATTTCTGGGTAGTCTATGTAATAGACCACGGGGAATGCCGTGGTCTATTTCGCGTGAACAGATTTGCTGATTAATTAGGCAAGACCCCGCCTCTTGACCTCCCAGATTTTGACCAATCAGCGGGCGCTTTCTATATCGGGTATTCGGTCATTCACCCGTTGCGCGTCACATAGACACAATGGATTTTTTTAAAAACGTGTCACGCGCTCTGTATCATGTTACACGATATGGGACCGGTTGTTGTGGCATTACAAAGCACTGCATTCGAATTGGCCAATCAAACCATTTATTCCTGATTTGGGAATGAAATGACGTCACGATTGAGTAACGTCGACTCCGATTGGCTGGCGCGTGGCTTGCATAAATTTGGATGTCAGGAGATGTCAGACGTTCTCCAGGATTTGGCTCTGTGGATAATGGGTGATACTCAGACTAATTTCTGGGTTGGTGCCAGCGTTACGGCCAAAAAAAAAAACAAAAACATGTTAAGCGTGCTTCCCTTTTGGAGGCCGCCTCCTTCTTTTTTTTTTAATTGAAAAGAAAAAAACTGAAAAAAAAAAGGATACATTTTAAACATTGACATCATGTTGGCCTCTTTGTCTGTTGCATGTAGTCCATATAAAGCTGGTATGTCATTTTCTGAGTCCAAGTGGCGGCCATTTTTAAAAAAAAACTGGCGGCCATCTTGAAAAATAGCCCAGCCGGTCGTTTTGGAAAAAGGGTCGGGCGGCCATTTTGGGGAAAGATGCTACTACATTTGCCTCCCTCCACCTTGGAGTATAGATGGGTACCTCAGTCGAGGACCGATTGAGCGCTGATATCGGCTGCCGCGTGGTCCCATGGCCTGATGAACGATGAACGGGGTAATAATTGTAAAGGGCTTTCAGATTGTTGATACGATGAAAAGCGCTATATAAACACTACGATAATGATGTTTAGTCTACCTATCTTTTTTCAAAGGACAAATCTGCGATGGCCCTATAGCCATATATCATTTGTAAGACATATACTCTGGCCGTGTGCCAAATGCCATGCTTGTATCATCAAAGGCATCATTCCCCCAAATACTTCCCCTATCTGCCTCATTAAGAGATTCTTTAGAAGGTCTAAACAAAATTGCTGACTGAGCAATTGTTTTTGGATGAAGACCGTTTGGTGATCAGGTTTATGTATTGCAGGTCGTGGGTGAGCTCGTCCTGTTCACCTTCTTGCTGTACGTCCTGGAGATCCGCTCAACCGGAGGTTCACTGTTGGAGGAATGGAAGTGCAGGTAGATCCTTGAGTACTTCCTGGCAGGGGCGTCAATCGCTTCTCAAAAGTGGGGGGGGACATACCTTGATCAGAACTGATGCGAGCGTGAAGTGCGAAGCCCTTACGGCGTGGGGTTCGGGGCCCACTTAAGGGCCCCGAAAAAAATTTGATTCTAGATGCTCTGTGGTGTGATCTGAAGCCATTTCTTACCACCTTTCTCCATGCTTTAACTAATATTTTCGTAGCAAAAGTAATTATTTGAACATCGTTTTCGAGGTTGGAGTCATTGAATTGGCTACCAGAATTCTAAGCTACATGCGTGGGGTTCGGGGCCCGCTTAAGGGCCCCGAAAAAAATTTGGATTCTAAATGCTCTGTGGTGCTATCTGAGGCAATTTCTGACCATTTTAACCAATATTTTTTAAGCAAAAGATACATTGAAGTACATAATAGGGCCCTGTAAATGGCCCTGTTACTTCAATTTTTTTTCACATAGTAGTAAAGTGTAGCCCTTTAACCATGCATGGTGAAAAAAAGCTCAGTAAAAATCGCAAGAATGGTGATATTATGCTAATTTGAATACTAGAAAGCACTCAGAGGGCACAACCCTCTGCCTAAGCTGAACAATTTCCAAACAGTGAAACATTTTACTGAAAGCCAACTGTGCAATTATCCTTCATTTGTGCAATTTCTTTAGTATTTTGAAATATTCATGATGCTGAAAGGGTTTAAACTTGGACTAAAAAGGATGAGATACCTATTCAGGTCGAAATTAAAAGGTATTTCCTTCAAATTCATTTGCACTCTTGTCTTATTATGTGCCATGTTGTTTGTAAGGATTAGGACATGCTCAAATCAATACGGTGAAAATCCTTTACTGTGGTAATTTTTTTGTGTACAGGATGAAAAATGACTACTTTTACATAATTGGCATTTTCTCAGCAACCCAAAGTGCTATTTTCATGATTTTTTTTCAGTATTTGAAAGAAAAAGCTCTCAGCTGATACCAAAAACATAAAAATCCACCGATCCCTTTTTTTTTTTAAGAGGCAAATGTTTTGGGGTTGCATTTTTTTGGGGTCACCCTGTAGGCTTGTCTAGTCTGTTCTGTTATCAAACTTTTCTCTATACCGTAGAAAGAGGCAAGGCGGGGCCTTCAACAGAGACATCATTGAGAACGAGGACCCCGATGTCAAGGAAGAGAGGGAGAAAGTCCAAGCAATCTTTGACCAAGGTCTTAATACTGAGGTCAGTCCTTCCGTGGTGTTTGACTTAGTGTTGGGCGGTTCCAGCATTTCTGGAGCCGGTTCCGGTTCTCTAAGGGACTGTGACCATTCAGCCCTGGTATGAAAAGGGCCCCCCGGTACCCCGTCCGGTCCAAAGCCAGTCCGGTCTTCAGCCCAGTCTCGTCCGGTACATGGTCCTGTCTGACCAGAAGTTTTGAAGTCAGTCAGGCGCATCAATTTATTGCCCTTCAGAGAACGGCCAGAGCAGAACAATAGCAGACCTACCGGATTAAAGATAAAATCCTTCCATAACGCCTAGGTATTTTACGGTCCCATTGTGCGCAAAACCGCATGGCAGGTTGGATCTGTGCCGACGAAAGTGTTCTATTGTTTCGCGCTGAGAGATGAAAACCACAAGCGGGTTTCTTCTGGGATATATTACATGTGTCAATACTTGCAAACAATAGCCCCAGGATAGAGGAGTTCCTGATTAGCAACTGGACCAGCTCCTAGGCCGGAAACTGGGACGGTACGAGAGGACTTCTTGGGAGGAGACGAGCTAACCGGGGGGCCCTTTTCATACCGGGGCTGAATGGTCACGGGCCCTGAACAGAGTCAGAACCGGCTCCCGGAAAATTCAATGAAAAACATAAGCCCATGAAATTACATGTAAAGTAAACGGTGTCACCTTGTGAGGTCCGTGCTCCACAGATTGCGGCATGCAATACCTGTTATTCCATGATGTGTTTGGTTTCAAATGTGTGTCTTTTTCCTGTGTGACTATGGGGATTGTGTTGGGCCAAAAAAAAAAAATATTCGGTCTCTGGTCAGACCAAAGTTCCGGAATTGACTCGGCCACGCGGCTTTTTTTTTTTTTTTTTTTTTTTTTTTGCCTTTTTTTTTTCCTTCAAGCTTGGATTGTACAGACAAGGTGGGTACTATTTTGCTTTTTTGGTGTCCTCATGTACATTGGTGTCCTCCATAATTTGCCTTGGTGCTTTTGATCATTTGCCTTGGTGCAATTTCCCATTCCTTGGTGCTCTTTGGTAAAAAAATTTGAGGAGGTGCGGAAATAGAGGGCGCTGTTGGAGCTACCGCGGAACATTTTGGAAAAAAAAAAGATCGACGCGCATGATTAAAATCGCGCACGCTGACCAGAGACCGACTTAATTTTTTTTGGGGCTTTATTGACCAAAATTATACTCGTTATTCTGTCCCTAATTGCCTGTGACTTTATTAACCGCGGCAAGCACCGAGCGTGTAGGACAGAATGAGTCACTGCACACTTACATGTGCACTACCCAGCTTTCAATGTACGTTGCTACGCACGTGCGTGAGTGCCCTGCTGCAGGGCATGCGCCATGCGGGCTGAGCAAGCTTGACTCGACTCCTGTGAGTACAAGTGACACTGAGTCTCCGCTGTGCTGTGGACATAACTTGGAACCGGCTTTGAGTGCTGGAATCAACTCTGGCCAAGTTCGGGCAAGGACCATTAGTCGACTAGTGGTTGATTCGTGACGTACCTTACGCCTGCGCACTGATAGCAACGTGCAAACGTCTCTAGTCAAACGCTGGTCAAAATGTCATCGCAAAACTTCTGGATCCTGGCTCTCTGCTAGCGTTATGAATGCGCGCGGCTATTGGTTACCAGCGAAGCAACCAACCCCAGTAGGCTGGTTCCAAATAGTCGACTAGCGTAGTCAACCACCGTCGACTAGACAGAGTTCGGGCAAACCGGTACGTTAGTTAACCATTGGTCAACTATAGTCCTTGCGCGAACTTGGCCTCTGATGGAGCCAGGTACAGGTACAAAATACCCGGCTCTGAACGAGTCGGAGTTCCACCGAGCTTAAGTTGCATGATACATGAATAAATCCCGAGCACTTCTGTTTGGTTTGTTCTGGTGAAGGTTCCTTGGCAACAAAGGTTTGTTTGCTTGCCCAGATCAGTCTAGCCACGCCCCAGAGTAATTGTGACATTCAATACGCTTATTACCTATAGTACAAGGCCAGTATAAGCCTTAGTCAAGGCATTTGTTTTTATTCGTCCGTACGCAGTAAACGATCGGCGGCATATCCTCGCTATGCAGTGCATTGAAAATACTGCGCGTACAGCGAACCTCATGCGGCCACTATTTTATGCAAATCATTTGGATCCAGACGAACGCCTTGGTCCAATCGTCCACGTGAGGTTTTGGGGGTGGTGCTCATTATGGTAATAGCCTAAGCTGACCTTAAAATGCGTTTTCTTATTGGTCGATTGTTGCGTGGAAACTTGCATAGCGGCGAAAGTTCATACAGCGATAACGTGTGACGTGTACTGTACATAATACATACACACACGTTGTGTGTCTCACATTTCACACAACACCAGTGCACCAATGCACAAAAAAAGTGGTTTCTGACACGTCCGCAAAAGGCAAATAGCTGCAAATAATTTGATGACGTCGGGATTTACCAAGGTGTGATTGGACACTCCACATATTAGCCCCGCCTACCCTTATCTGTATTCGCATATGAGGTCGTGCGCTAGAAATCTTGTGCAAAATAAAGAAAACCATAAGCTTTCGCGGACGATTGGACCAAGGCTTTCGTCTGGATCCAAATGATTTGCATAAAATAGTGGCCGCATGAGGTCGCTGTAAAGTAATGCACTGCATAGCGTGGATATGCCCCCGCGTACAGACGAATAATGACAAACGCCTCGTCCAAGGCTAGGCCAGTATCGGGGGGCGTTGCCTAGTGGCCGTAAAGGGCTCAGCCGAGCCGTTTGTCTCTGACTCTCTGCAAGATGTATCTGAGTCTGTGCAGTTTTCCCTGCCATTGTTTTGACTAGCCAGAGTGAACGTCCCTTCGCTTCTGGTGAATTTCTCCCTTCTAGAAAAAATCCTGGCGACGCCCGTGGCTATTATTAGCCTATAGTGATGTGACACAAAGGCACATTATACATGCATATGAATTCCTTTGGGGAACTAACCCACCGGGCCGGTTTTTATGTGCAACCTCTATGAGAGAACACGGCGAAAAAATCATCAAAAAGGGGCCCTTTTTCACATCTGTCGCCACCACTTCATCATTCGACAGAGTATACCTTAGATCTTACTACAGTATGACCCTAACAAACTACTCTTTCAGAAAATGAAAGAAAAACTGAATAAAACACTGAGTTTCACTCGCGAATTGATGTTAAACACTGCATTTTTGGTCAAAAATCTCCCTGCTTTGTGTATAAACCACGCGTTCAGCCAAGAACTGGTCCATTACATCATCACAGCGTTAAATAGCGCCACCTGGGAGCTTAGATCTCTCGATTAATTTTTCTTCGTCTCGTCAGCTTTCCAACAGTATAACCCTTATTGTGATTGGTTGAGGTTTAGGCTTGCGTGTATTCATTTTTACAAAAGAATTGTTCATCTGAACTCCAATAAAATTTGCGCGTAGGGTCTGTTTATTGTACACGTGCTAGGCAGTGCTAGTGTATATACACCACACACACACACAGCCTGGGAGCTCTTATCTCTATGTGTCCAAGGTCATCTGGCTGTGCGCTTTGGCCGGTTTACATGGGGTCCTTTTGACCGCAAAGGTTTTGATATGTACAAAGGTGTAATGTTTCTCCTTTTTCTCCCTTTCTGAATTTGCCTCCAATTGCTCAGAAATGTGTCGTGGCAGCATCAGGCATCCGCAAAGAATTTGATCGGTCCAAGGGCTGCTGCCGGAAGCAACACAGCAACAAGTTGGCCGTCCGTAACCTGTCACTGAGCGTGAATGAAGGGGAAGTCTTTGGCCTACTGGGACCCAACGGAGCTGGTAAAACCACTTCCATGAACGTCATCGCAGCAGATACTGAAGCTACCAAAGGACAGGTCGGTCCCGAGCCTATCTGGCCCAACAGGCCGGCGTTTATCTCCGGTTTCCTTGGCATGAAACGACTGAGAATATTTCTATTCCCCTTGGACAGGATGCCAGTCCATTGCAGGTTACTCCCCAGCTAATGCTGGTACCCATTTATACTTCTGGGTGGAGAGAGGCAAGTGGGGATTAAGTACCTTGCCCAAGGACACAACGTATGGCCGGCAGCTGGATTTGAACCCCTGACCCTCTGATCATGAGTCACGAACCCTTACTGCTAGGCCACACAGCATCAAATAAACATCCTTCCTTTTCCCTGTCTCATCTTTTAATACTAATACTAATAAAAACTGGATTTGTTAAAGTGCACATATCAACCAAACAAGCTGTCAAGGCACAGTACATTATTATTACCCCTGCTCAGCGGGCCAATGAAAACGAGCCAAAGACCATCTCAGCTCCCTAGGGAGTATACAGCTCGATGCCGCCCTATTGGCGCAATCTGCTATTAAAAAATCAAACACACAACCATCTCTGCTCTCACATGTACCCATATACTCCTGGGTGGAGAGTAGTAAAGTGTCTTGCCCAAGGACACACATACCGCTACATGCCCTAGGCTTGATCGACCCCACGACCTTTTTTAAACGGTTGATAAAGACATGGCTGGCTGGTCTTTTTCAATTCAATTCATAAACATTTATTTCCTCTCTGTGGAGGCAGCATCCTAAAAAGCCAAAGCTTGTGGTGGATGTGCCAAACAATATAAGACAAAACAAGACTAATTATAGAATTTGAAATAATAACAATTGTTAAATACATAACGGTTAAACAAAGTAGACACGATAATAAATAACATATCAATAGCGGCTAAGCCAACTTAATAATAAATCGGGTATTCTGAGAATTAAGTAGGAATGTTTTTAGTTTTTATTTGAATGTATTACTTGAAGGGCAAATAGTTCAAGATGGTGAAAGACAGTTCCAGTTTTTTGGTCCAAAGAAAGAAATGGTGTGTTGAGAAAGGGTTGTTCTGACTTGAGGTTTGTAATTTGGATGAGGACCTAGTATTATAATCATGAATGGATCTATTCAATTGAAAGAGGTTGTGTAACGATTCATAGTCCAAAATTCAATCTACACCGGCACAGCTGCATTTTGCGCCACATCACTCAGTACATGCGACGCGCGCGCCAATCTCCGATCTCCGATCTCCATATATAAGGAGTTGCTTACGACTCCTCGCAAGAGGGCCATACCATAGCATAGGTAGAGGGTTGTTTCTAAAAACATAAAAGTAAAATTGTTTTCAAAAAAGGTCGAAAGTTTATAATTTTTGACTTGTTTTGACTTTTGGACCGAAAAGTTTTGATTTTTGGATCGGTATTTATGAATGGGAATTTCGGCTTGGGTCGTTATTAGCGTCCACACCGGACTGAAACAGAGTGTTTAAAACCTGCCAAACACACATTTACTCCCTTATTCTAAGTCCACTGAACATTATTCTGTGCTCTCTGAAACCAGCTTTACAATGTTTGCCTTGTCTTGTTTTTCAAATTCACTTTAACAAATCATCATGTCTCTCCGTTAGTCGGTATGTTAGTTAGTTCGTTAGTTGATAGTTATAGTAATAAACGTTCTGCACAGCCACATCTCAATGAAAGGCGATAATTCGGGGGACAATAGCCACATGCCTGCTGCATATAGCAGCTCTCGAGATCTCATTCCGTAATGAAAAGTAGCACGCAGCTGCTCAACCGGAAATGTCCACACAAGCTTTAAAGGTAGAGTCCATCATTTGTAATTTGTGCATTTTGTTCGTTTGAAGCAACAAAAGAGTTCAAAATCTAATGAAGGATACTGAGCAACTAACCTGATGAAGTTTCAGCTAAGTTTCAGCTGTACATTCCGAGAAAAACAGCATTCTAAGATCTCAATTTCAAATCAAAAGTTGCTGAATCATGTTTTGAATTGTTTTGAATTGCAACTATACGCGACGTCGCGCACTGATCCGACGAATTATAACAACCGCGCGCGCGTGTGCGTCGTTCGAATACTTGTGCGCGCTGCGCTGAATAACAAAACGAACTACTAATTTAAATTTTCCTACGGTGCTTCTTAAGAATCACCGTTGGAAATGCCTTCTTTCGTTGATTACTTCAAAATGACAGCTTGCCAGAAAGAATAATTTCACAGGGAGTTTAGTCTCCTTACTATCTTTCAACCAAGTTAGTTTTTCAACAATAATTACGCCAGTTACTTTTCGGATGGCTGCAAATGATGGACTCTACCTTTAACGTGGGGAAATGACCACACAGATAACCCATTTTTACACATTTTTACACTAAATTCCTTGTATCTTCAGAATGGACGGTCGCACAAATCTGGGGGTTGCATATTATGAAAATTCATTCTTCTGGCTTTACGTTTGTCTATGTCTGGCTTGGAAAAGTAGAAAAACCACTGATCATTTTTTTCTTGAAAATGTGGGGTATGAGGCTATTGCCTATGGAGCGGAACAGAAAATGACCATTCGTGACAGACCTTTGGTTGTTTATCTCAACATGTCTCGAGATCCCAATGTCAGAACACACTGGGGGGTAGCGGTTTTGTAAAAAAGATGAAGTTCTCTTTTCATTCATATAAGGCTCGATTTCATTGGTTAAGAAACTGGTGATCATTTTTCATGACTGGTTTTCTTGCAGAGGTCAGTCGTGTGAGTGCACGTGGCCAGCATGTTGCATGTGGTATGCAAATCGCAAGGTCAATTGGTCAAGCTGTGGAGCTGTATCACACACATTGATCTTTTGCGCGTTTGGGCCCCAAACTTTTCGTTATGTAGACAACGATTGTACACATTCCGCACACTAAGTGCAACACAAATTCGTTGGGAGTCCGCAGCTAATTCCGAGATCATATCGAGCTTGTTATTTATCAAATTGACTGTTTAGTGTCATGTCCTGGTCCCCCTGTTCAGGTCCAAATTGCCGGCTATGATATCACCTCCTCTCTGAGCGAAGCCTTCCAAGTCATGGGCTACTGCCCTCAACACGATCCGCTGTACTCCCATGTGACAATGCAGGAACACCTGGAGGCCTATGGGTTGATTAAGGGCATTCACCCTACCGACGTCAAGACCGTGGCTCAGCAGTGAGTAGCCTCACATTCGCAGGGTGCATGAATTCTAGAGGGTGCCATTTTGTAAGGGCCCTGTCACACTTCTGCGTATCCTAATTCCTTATGAGTTGCGCATTGACATTTTTTTCATACGCAGTCGTACGCACAATACGCACCTCATATGCATCTCTATCGTTTTGTGTAAGTTTTATGTACGCAGGCATACGCACGGTACGGCCCAGTACGCTGGATAGTTTTGGGCATGCACAAAACTACGCTGCGTACGCTGTTACGCAGTTCATAAGTTATAAATACGCAGCACATCGGTCACGCATCGGTCGAGCGCGGTACGAGTACGCTATGTGTTCATGGGGGACAAGCCGTTCATACGCGGTAATACACTGACCTCCTATATTGGACGTATACATATAGCGTACTTGCAGCGCAGATACAACGCACGCCGAACGAACTCATATCGAATGCCGACGTATTGAACGAATTAGTACCGCTTGTCCTGCGAGCGGGCAGCGCATTGTACTTATTTGTAACTTATGAGAAACGCACAGATAGCGAACTTGCGCACTGCATTCGCAACTCATACGCATGCCATACGCAGTGGATGCGCTGAATTCGTTACTTGTTCGCTAGATGTGCGTCGCACATAAGTCAAAGTAATCAAAAAATTTCGACGTTTTTGATCGTACGGCTGCGTATTGAAACATTTTGATAAGGAACTCATAAGGAATTGGGATACGCAAAAGTGTGACAGGGGCTTAACATTTTATTCAGAGCTAGCCGTTATTTGTGTCAGACGACGCAGGTTTGAAAAAGTTGAAAAGGCAAAACTTGAAAATGCACCTGAACAGAAAACCCCTGAAGTGAACAGTGTCTTCCTGAAATGGCATCATAGCATCTCGTTTGTCAGATATTCCCAAGTAAGATTCATGCCAAGTATTTTTGTTTACTTCAAAATTTGCCTGTGAATTCAGCAGATACAATATTTTACCCTACCAGGAATGTTAGAGATAGGATGATTTTAGTGAAAATGTGTCACTAAAGCATTTACTTTCATGACCACTTTACCGTTTGGTTTCTGGGTCACTTTTGTGCCTAGACAAATGTTGGTTTTATTGAATACCAAAAACCATGAACTTTGGTGAACAGTTAAATTTTAATTCAGCTCCAGTTGCCATCATGATGTTTGAATGATGAAATCTACATGGTCAATTTGTTTTATCGGATTCTATCGGTTACAATTCTTTCTCTGTCATTATCAGCTGGCTTGTGTTATGTTTCATTGTATTTGCTGTTTGAGAATGAAATTGAAATGATGGAATACTCTTTTTGTACCCAAAGTTTCATGGATGCCCTGAACATCACGCAGCATGCAAGCAAGAAACCTTCAGAGCTGTCAGGGGGCACCAAGAGAAAGGTTAGTCTATGTAAAAGACCCTGGCTAAAGCCTGGGTCTATGATATGTCGGCAGAATCAGCAATTAATTATGCAAAAAGACTGCATCTTCACCTCGAGATTCTGACCAATCAGCAGACGCGTTCTATACCCGTCGTCGCGTCATAGACATCGAAAAATAAAACCCAGACACAACATCCATTATCCTTTTGGCTTCAGTCATGCGCTCTGTATGTTACGCGATATGCGCCAACCTTAGAGCCAATGTCCTGTCTGGGTTTTATAGATCTCGATGCCCGGCCTGGCGCCGTTGTTGTATTGCAAAAACACTGCATCCAAATTGACCAATCAAACCTTTGGTCCAGATTTGGGAATGAAATGACATCGTGATTTTGTAAAGTCAACTCCGATTGGCTGGTGCGCAGTGTCGCAAAAATTTGCATTCCTTGATATATGAGATGTTCTTTTGGAGAAAGGGCTTCTCGGAGAACGGGTGATATTCAGACTAGAGAAAGGTATGATGCCTAGCTAGGAAATTGAGGAGTTTGTCAAAGAAAAATTTGAAAGTTGAAATTCCTTTTGGAATGCTCAAACACGTGAACCAACACAAACATTTCACTCATTGGCTTACTGCCATGTACTGACGCAGCAGCAAATCTCCGTACAAAAGACAGTTTACAACAGCAAAACATCCAAAATTCTGGCAACTTTTGTGGTGCTGAAATAAATGTTAACACAGAGGTTTCTGCCTGAAATGACGTCACACTTTTGCTCAGGACTTTGGAAATTTGCATTAGAACTGAAACAAAAAGGCACCAAGTACCCTTGAAACTGGCGACTCAAAAAACGAAAATGAGATTAAATGGGACACAGAGGTGCATTTTCAAGGATTGCATTACAAAAATTGCATGGGCCCTGTAACGATTCTGTTTTTTTCTTCCATCTTGCAGCTATGTTTTGCTATCAGCATGCTGGGCAAGCCAAAGATTGTCTTTCTGGACGAGCCGTCGACAGGAATGGATCCTACCTCCAAACGTTTTGTCTGGTAAGTCGGCTCAGATATTCAGATGCTGTCAAAATCACTCAGAGATGAAACTTTTCCGATTTTAATCGGAAAACCGACTTTTTGAATTTTCCAACGAAATTTCCGATTTTTTTACAGTGTGTCCCACAAAATTTGATTTTCTCTGATGATTTTTTCACAAAATGTCATTTTATTTCAATCATAATTTCGAAGAAAAGTCGATGGAAATGGCGTGTTAAAATCATCGCGAACGTAGTTTTAATCTCTTTCACCAGTCGTTATTGGAGAGTTTCAACGGTAGAAACACAGGGCATAACACTGATCGGAGCCTTCTCCGTCTGGACAAAAGGTTAACATTGACAGGCGACATGGAAAAATCACTGTGTCGCACGTGCGTGCGAATATGCAATGGTACCAGCGTACGTACGTACCGCACCACGTACGTGGTACGCACCACCGCACCACGTACCGTCCGCTAGCACATGGCCGGCCGGGACGGGTAGCCTTGTGAAGGATCCTGTGGATAAAATCATTAGGCCTATGTTGTGCGATTTTCGGAGGTTTCAGATTCAGTTGTACAAAATGCAATGCTTTAAAAATCATGATGATTATCTCGAGGATAGCGAAGAGAGCATTAGCGAAACATTTCACTGGCATTTGTTGGAAGAGAAAGACGTCGTCGATAATGCCTGATTTTTTCCCATGTATGAATGCAAGTGGTTGAATCATGGACATGATTGAAGCACCATGAACGGTGCCCTTGTCTTTCGGACTTTTCCCTCGACTTTCTCAAGTAAGAAGTGAACTTCTTTATTGATGACTCCATTACTCTAACCGTAATTCAGGCATTTTATGCAATGAAAACACTGACCATTTTTTTTTTTCATCGTAAAATTTTGTTTGAATCAAAAATAAAGCAGGAGTTGGTGTCCGGAAATTGGGCATGAAGTGTATTGTACATGCATGTATATGTGTGTAATGGCAGCGCGGCCCAGATTTCGGACACGTATTTTTGTTCGGCCTATTTTCCGATTTTTTTGCCACATGCCAGTTTCATCTCTGATCACTTGTTATAGTTTTGAATGAATTTTGTTTGCTAAGAAGTTATGTACCCCTGATTTGGAGAAATCAACTATTGGAAGGTGGCTTTAAAAAAGTGTGCCCGCTGACACACTTTTAAAAAGATTTGACGATATTGTTGCATACTGCGACCTCGAAGTCACATGCACAAATTGTCTGTCTGAGAATTACAACCGGAGTGCGGGTTTAAGGATTGTACACAAGAGAATGTGATTCCAAATTTGAAACAGCTTTTTTTTTTTTGGAATTGGAAACGCTAGCACCCATACCTGCTGACGAGACCAACAAATTGTGCATAGGTTTTGCCTGTTTTCTCAAGATGTATAGTATCCACTGAGCTGAAACTTGAACAGGTTAATTGTCATGGACCCTACTTACAATATTTTTTGCAGTTTTGTCGCTTCAAACAAACAACTACACAATTGCAAATGATCTTGTGAAAAGTAAAGTAAAGTACAGTCTGTCCCGAGCCTATATGGCCCATCAGGCCGGCGTTTATCTCCGGTTTCCTTGGCATGAAACGACTGAGAATATTTCTATTCCCCTTGGACAGGATGCCAGTCCATCGCAGGTTACTCCCCAGCTAATGTTGGTACCCATTTATACTCCTGGGTGGAGAGAGGCAAGTGGGGATTAAGTGCCTTGCCCAAGGACACAACGTATGGCCGGCAGCTGGATTCGAACCCCTGACCCTCTGATCATGAGTCACGAACCCTTACCGCTAGTCCACACTTCCCACTTGTCTACTTTTGATATATTTTTTTAAGGGGGAAAACATTTCAATGAATTTCAAGTAAATCACAATATTAATGGTTCTCCTCGGCGGTTTTGCTCAGGAAATTGATACAGTGAATAAGATGTTGTTTATCTTTGGTTTTTCATTTTTTGCAGGAACACCATCATTGCCAGTTTCCGTGACGACAGAGGAGCTGTCCTGACGACGCATTACATGGAGGAGGCAGACGCCGTGTGCTCCCGCGTTGGCATTATGATCTCTGGCAGGTTAATGTGAGTAGCATTTGGAAAAAATAGTTCTGTGTTCTCAACCCTTTATCAGGATGAGGGAAGTTCAACTTATCTAGTGTTCCCAATCGAAATGGGGAACAGCTATTGTTTTTGTTAATTTGTTTTCTTTTCTTTTTTCTTTTTCCACTTTTCCTATAGACTTTGTACACGTTTTTATTCTACAAGACCCTAGACCGTAATGGTCATATCTCATTCATTATGAAGCTGATGGGGTTGATACCTTATAGTATTAGAAACAATATTCAAAGATTACTAAATTGCATTATTATTATTACTGTGCAGTTTATTGTACTTATGTTATGACGTCATGAATATTTAATGAGGCAATTTTATGGTCACCATATCTCAACAATACGATAAGTTAGGATTCCAGTTTTTTGCACATTTCCTCATATCGGTCTGAAAATGCACCGCTTGGAACGCCCAGGTCATGTGACCCTTACTACATGTACTACATTGTATCACATTGTACTAAAAGGCTCATGCAATGTAATTTTTTTTAATGCTGTCCTTGAAAATGCACCTTTGTGTCCCATTTAACCTTATTTTCGTCTTGCCATTTTCAAGGGTATTTTGGTGCCTTTTTGGTTTTTATGCTAATGCAAATTTCCATATTCATGAGAAAAAGTGTGATGTCGGTTCAGGCACAAACCTGTGTTACAGCTATTTCAGCACCAAAAGTTGCCAGAAATTTGGATATTTTGCTGTTGTGCATTTTCTTTTCTTTGGTGATAATTGTTGTAAATAAGGCAATAAAGCCAATGAGCCAATTTTTCTCACAAATGTTTTCAACAAGCAGATTTTTGGGTTCACATTTGAACAGAAAACCCCTAAACTGAACAGTGTCTTCCTGATATATGGCATCACAGCAACAACGCCCTCAGTTGTCCAGAAAAGCATGGAAAATTGTTCATGTTTAAAGAAGTGCATCTTTGAATAAAATTAACCAAAAAGGGATGTCAAATAGTTTTCATACATTTAAGAGGAGTAGAAAGTTGCGCAAAATGTGTTCCTCAGAATAATTCATTTCACGGACACTTTAATTCCTAGATGAATCTTGATAAAAGCATACAGTGCTGAGGCGTTTTTTTGGCAGTAATGGGAGAGATTAAAAGGCAGGGCGGTTTAGGGCAATACAGGGAATAATTAGCTCCTCAATTAGCCGAGAATGACCGTGCTTCCTTGGTCTTTTGTCAGGTGCTTGGGTACGACCCAGCATCTTAAGGGCAAGTACGGAGGCGGCTATCTGCTAGAAGCCAAGCTCAACCCTGGAGAGGCCTACTACTCCATGGACCACACCACGGGGGAAGCTACGCGGCTGCTGGAGCAGAAGATGCAGGCGCTGGACGACAAAATCCACCACGTGTTTCCCTCGGCGGAGACAGTTGAGAACTTTGGGGAGCGGGTGACTTACAAGATTCCCAAAGAGGATGTCGGATCGCTGGCGAGGGTCTTCGCTGCCTTGGAAGAAGGTAGGTGCATCATTGTGGGCGGGGCTTAGATAACTAGGAAAGGGAGGCGGGGAGATTGATACAGGTCTTTCTTTTGACCTAAGCCTTGCTTGGCTAAGTTGCATAAATGTAGGTTAGGGGGACGTGAGAGAAGACCAACCTCGCCCCAGTGCTTACTTTATTTTTAACCTTGTTTCCAATAGTAAGCCCTGGATAGGAAACTTTCTTCCTGATTTGATACCGCAATTGGCAAGTAATGGAAAATGTGTCGTGTACTTGGTATTATTTCCAACATGCATTACGTGATTTCTAGTTCATTTTAATTATTACGTCCACACCTTCCCCAAAATACTCCTTTCCTTTCCAATTTGCTCATATTAAATATGAATGTGATACTGCATAATGGCTGGAGAAGATTGCAACATTTAAATTTTGGAGAAAGAAATTGTGCTGACGTAACTCACGCCGTGACAAATTGATTCTGTTTTTACCCCAGACACTGCATACAAAATAAATGCTAACGTAAAGCACAGGCAGGCGCCAGACTATTCCTACTTTGCATACATGTCCTGAACATTTTGGACATGCAAATGATCCAATACCAGGATGAGAGAGCAGGTAGTGGTGGGCGCGTACTGCTCGACACCCCTGGGGACGAGGTTGGGAGAAGACAGATACAGATCTGTCTTGTAGCCTTTGACCTCAGCTTTGATTGAAAAATTTGCATAAAGAATAATTTTTGATTGGGTTCGTTTCAGGCAAAGAGACGTTAAACATTGAGGAATACAGCTTCAGCCAAGCCACCCTAGAACAGGTAGGGTAAAATTTGTTGTCAACATTTCCACAGGTACAATATGTCTACTCTACTACAGTGGAACGCCGCTATAACGAACATCACGGGATCCACAGAGAATGTTCATAATAGTGATCATTCGGTATAGCGATTTTAAGCTGCTGGTGCTCCGGTACTCACTTTTCAATAAATGGCGCCCTTCATAACTTCACCCTGCACGCCCTGGTAGTTACTGAAAGACGACTTCGAACACGTGCCGACTATTGAATTATGTAGTTACACAGTTTTGAGTTTACTACCTACATCGATGTGGTGGCTTTCTCTTTCTATGCCTTGGGGAAATAATAGCCACTTGTCACTCTTCTGTTGAAGGTTTTCAACAACAATGTTAGGTTTGTTTTGTACACAAAAGTCAGGAGCCAAGGACGATGTTTGTTATAGCCGAATGTTCGGTATAGCGACATTCCACTGTGTATGTCTAATTCATTGAACCTTACCCCTTTAGGGTTATTTTGGCTAGAAACGCAGCAACATACATACAGCAACATATTTGTGAAATATTACAAGCCTGCAAGATCCATCCGGGCAAAAATCTCAGGGCAAAACTGCCTCAGAGTCCGTGGTCACCAACTGCAGCAGCAGGGCACAAGTAATGAAACACCTCCTTTCGTCTTTTGTTTACTGTTAATTAGGACAGAATGACGTAGCCTCTTAAGACAATAAGTATATCAAATGAAAGATACTTCCAAGCTCTATCAATTACCTGAAAAATCCGAATTTGGCCTTTTGACCCATTTTTCGCCCTTACGACCTTCTTCCAGGCACCCGACGAATTACTCTTACATATTTGTATTTGTATCAGAAGTTGGCTGGAAAATTTTACCCTTTACGATTTTCAGCAAATATCCCGGCCCGGGTGGTCAAGCAGATTCTCTTATTTTGTTCATTTCCCAGGTTTTCATTGAGTTTGCCAAGATGCAACGCGACGATGACCAGCCTTATCAGCGGCATCATCAAGTAGCGTGGAACAACGCAGACCCGCACGTTGTGGTGGCATAGGTATACACTTCTACTAGGATTTTGATAGACCAACGTATATGTGGAGTGCCTTGGTGCAGTGATTACTGTGTCCAACTCATGGAACCTGGTACTTGTGTTCTCGGGCAAGACACTTTACTACAATCGCCTCTCTCCACCCAGGAGAATAAATGGGTACCTGTGAGGGTAGTGACCAGATTGCCCTGATCTCGAGGCTCGAGCTGCTGCAGAAAATTGGTCTCATGGCCTGATGAACGGGGAAATGATTGCAGAGAGCTTCAAGACTTTGGTATAAAGCGCTATATAAGCAACACATTATTATTAGTAGTAGTAATAAAGTAAACTCCGGATAAAACGTCATATCGCTTAAATCGGCCGTCTGACGAAAGTCCCGAATGTCTCTAATGTATTTTCATTGACATTTTCATTTCTAATACGGCCTTTGTAAGCGGCCATTTCGCCCATTTCCTCAAAACCACACAAATTCCTCTGTATAAGTCGGCATCGTGCTCTGCAGTTTGCAAGAAGTGTCAGTGAAAAGTCCCACACACTGCTAACTGACATCTGTTTATCAATGGCACGGCCGTGATTGGACATGGGCATAGCCCACAGCCACGTGTGCGATCAAAACGGGGTTTTCCTGATAGCATATCAATACCAGTACCCCCTCTCGACTGTACGCATGCGCTCTGTTCATTTTGGGGGTCCCCTTATTGTACCAGTACCATGCACACATTTAATTTGTGATCACTGTACAAGTACGTACGTGCACAATGTACACTTCATGTACATGGACGTACAGTATGCAAGCGATCTGTATATCGTACCACTGATAACGCTAGCCGGCCGCGCCGTCCTTGCTTCGTACGTACGTACATGTACATGCATGACTTTCTGTGATCAATACCACAGCCTGTTTGTGATGATAAACATTGAGGATATATTTGCTGGAATCAACCATGGATGTAGAAATACACCAGGGTAAATCAAAGCCTTTGAATTTTAGCCATGAATCTTGTTTGCATGATCCAGATACAGATGCGCATAGGCCATTTCACCCCGTGATTCAATTTGTGTATTTGTGTAAGTCGGCAAAATGACGACTTGCAGCAGAAGCCGACATTCGCGTAAGTCGTCACAAATTCTCTGGTCCCGAGAGTGCCGTCTTAGCCGGAGTTTACTGTATATTACTAACAGCTCTAATAGGGCGACAGTTTGTTATTAAATCTGCTCTAATAGGGTGACACACCTTATTAGAGCCACACATAACATGTCGCCCTATTATGAAAACTGCCATTTTGCCCCATTTTGACAAGGTTTTTTTTATTTTCACACTGGTTTCATGTACAGTCAGTACTGTATTGTCACAGCAGGTTTGGATGCACAAAGATATGTGCCTGTGTCCCTAGGCATGACACTTTACCCAACTTACTGGAGTTGAATTTGAAAAGAAAGAGTTGTGAATTGCCATTATTGGATAGAAAGAGTTTTGAATTGCCATTGTGCATTGTGTTTCGACTGGAACTTTGCTGTAAGTAAGAGAAACTAAACTAGCATTACCTGTTTTGGAAAACAAACCTACTTTGTAAAAGTATTTCTGACTATAAAATGTTATGTAGCTTATGTGATATACCAGTGAACATGAGCGTAGTTTTCTTGCTCAGTGTGTTTCGCTACCATATATTCAATATTGACAAAAACATAGTTTTATCGGCTGGTGTTCTGTATTGGCAGTTTTGGAATGACGTAAGTTCCTACTAAGAACCGTCTTGAAAAAGCTTCTTGCAATTTATATATTTGAAAATCAGAATATATGAATATGTTTGGTTCTTACTTAGAATAGTCTTGGTGTTTTTTGGTGAAGCAGCTTTCAGTTTATATGTTTGAATATTACTGTACTTATGAGCAATCCAATTTTTATTTAGTTATTTGGGAAATATATTCCATTATTCTGAACAGTTTTCGAGTGGCTTGTATCAGCAGTTCAGCACTAGGCTGAATCCAAGGCAGACATTTGAAAAAGCTAATTTCAATGTATGTGCAGATGTCAGAATATCAATAATATAAGTTTAAAAAAAAAAATACACATTTTATGCTTTTATCGTTGACCAAAGTAAATACGTATGAAATACCGTAAAACTTTCTTAAACATTTTATCTATATGTATATATGGATGATGAAAAAGTGCAAGTATTGTTAAACTTGTTGCATCTTGTCTTGGAAGGTATACATAATGTTGTTAACAAACAGCTTGATTTTGAACGGTTCAAAAGCAGAAAGTATACATGTACCGGTAGTTCAATTTATGCAAAAAAATTGATGTAAATTTTGCAACTGATATGAAATTGAAGTATTTTAAGTGATACAAAACTACATATAGTACATATAATGGAATTAATCAGGGAAAAAAACTGTTTATGTATATTTCTGCGAGCATAATGATTATTATAACTGCTGCCCAAGAAATGATACACAAAGTGCAATTTATGAAGAACTTTATGTATAATTTGCAACTGAAATGAAACTGAAATATTTTTTACTTAAGTGATAAAAAGTACTTGTAGCACAGATGATTGAGTTATATCGGGAAAATAAGAAGTTGATATATATTTTGTAATCGTAATGATCTTTGATATATATATTTTGTAATCCCAATGATCATACTTTTTTTTAATGACATCACCTTTCACATGGTATAATGGAATTATTGTGTATTGGAAAATTAAAGAGTTTGTGTGTATTTTGCAAGTTCAATGCTTCATCTTGAAGATTGTACAGTTCTCGAAAAACAGTGTTCTATAAACAATATTTGACAAAATAAACAATATTTGACAAAATACCTCTTCTCTTAGAGAACTTGGTTTATTTTACATCCAATTAGCAGATACTAGTTCTGTTTGCTTCAACCGGGCAACGAATAACTGACCGTTAATAGGATGCCCGTTTCCAATTTCGTTGGTTCCATAACTAAAATGATTTTGACTTTGTGTTTTCCAAACCCAACACTCCTTAGTACGGTTTTTAAATTTCAGCTCGAAAAAAAATTAATCTATGTTTTTAGATTGCTATTTTTCCAGTAAACTCAAATACCTTTTATTTTCAACCGTTAAAAGGGTTGTTTAGTTCTTTTAACTGTTCAGTACTTTTTAGGTTATCTTTTGCCTCAAGGTACAGGTACGCCCTGCGACTAGACTGCTTTTTGTTCTAGTCCTTGAACAACAAATAAGCTAAATCGTACTGTAAAGCACGAACCGTAGATTCGGATCATATTCTCGACCAGATTTACTCTCGATCTCGCGTGTGAATCAAATACATGAGAACCCTCGTAACTGGGGTGCCGGGCGACATAAGTCGCCGATAGTTTCCCCATAGACAATGCGTGTACGGGACCTCATTGAGCCGTTTTAACAAGTGAAAATGTGTCCCTTGTAAATAAGCTTTTGCCTGCGGCGTGATTCGTACATGCACGTGTGGCATCGAGGACGTTACAAATGGTCTCCATAAGGCTGGTTATATACAAACTGAATATGTTTCGCCAATCTCGTTTAAAGCATACAGCGTGAGAAGTGTGTGTATTCGACATATGAAAACGCATAAATGACCATTTTTGTCCCACACACTATTCATATACTGCGTGTGGTATTAGGATTGCTACAAACGGTCCCCATAAGGCTGGTTATATACAAAGTGTGTGTGTTTCGCAAATCTCATAGACAATGTACAGCATGCGAAGTGTGTGTATGCCACATAAGAAAACGCATAAATAAGCATTTTTGACCAGCACACTATTCATATACTGCGTGTGGAATTATGATTGTTACAAACGGTCCCCGTAAGGCTGGTTATATACAAAGTGTGTGTGTTTCGCCAAAGTCATTGACAATGTACAGCATGCGAAGTGTGTAGTCGACATATGAAAACGCATAAATGACCATTTTTGTCCCGCACACTATTCATATACTGCGTGTGGTATTATGATTGTTACAAACGGTCCCCATAAGGCTGGTTATATACAAAATGTGCGCGTTTCGCAAATCTCATGGGCAATGTGCAGCATGCGAAGTGTGTGTATGCCACATAAGAAAACGCATAAATAAGCATTTTTGTCCCGCACACTTTTCATATACTGCGTGTGGAATTATGATTGCAACGAACGGTCCCCATAAGGCTGGTTATATACAAAGTGTGTGTGTCGCGCTAATCCTATAGACAATGTACAGCATGCGAAGTGTGTGTCTGCGACATATGAAAACGCATACATGACAATTTTTGTCCCGCACGCTATTCATATACTGCGTGTGGAAATATGATTGTTACAAACGGTCCCCGTAAGGCTGGTTATATACAAAATGTGTGTGTTTCGCAAATCTCATAGAAAATGTACTGCATGCGAAGTGTGTGTATTCGATGGAGATTGGCGAGTCAAGAAAATTTTGTTAAGTGTTTCCTATCAAAAATGGAAATGTTTCTCAGTCCCAGATTCATGTCTTTTCAACATTTTGTGCAATGGCTGACCTTTATTGAAGAAATAAGTGGCGTCAGGTTGCAATATTCTTTTGTACAGCATGCGAATTGATAAGTTATCAACATATAAAATTAATGCGTTCGTCTGGCACACTTTTTATAAGCTGCGTGAGGAATTTTGGTCACACAAATAAAGTTATGGCGCTATACGATCTTTTAATTTGGTCCTTTAAAACATTAAAACGGCAAATCCGTCCGCGTAAGTCCGAAATTTCGTGAAGCGTCGGACCTATGAGGCGCGCACCCCACAAAATGTCCCCATAAGGTCGGTTTTACATATGTGCATGTACCCTCATAGCATTCGCGCGCAGGGAACCTAGTAGGAAAATGGTCATAAGCCCGTTTCGCCACGGGTTTGTCCCACAATGTGGGGACAGACAACTTTGCCATAAAGAAAGCACTGTACGCGGCAGTAAACGAGCGACTCCAGCCCGGTAAATTCGTCCCCGGCGGGAAACACTGTTTTGACTGATTCAGTGTGTGGAAACTGTACATACTGCGTGCACGATTTCTAGCTGTACAAACGGTCCCCATAAGGTCGATTTCCGTGTGTCTGTCCTGAAACACACACTCTCATTGGAAATGTGCAGCGGAACGAGCCGTGTGTGCTTCGCCGTGGTCCGCTGTGGAGACGCAGAAACGGCTACTTTCGTGGCACAGTTGTGATCACTTGTTTCTGCACGTACGCGTTTGCAGGGAAGTGGTTATGAATGCGTTTCTCCACGCGTGTGTCGTGGAAAGCGGACAGACACTTTTGCCATAGAAAATGCACTGTGTTGGCGCTGACGTACGAACTCCTCAGCCAGCACATTCATTCCGAAAGGAACCTCCATTTTGCCTGATTTAGTGCGCTGGAAACGCTGCATTATGGTGTGCCATAGAGCAAGGACGGTTATGGGTGTACTAGACGTGTAGTGTACCGTATTTTGTGCAAAGGCTAGGCGAACATAATAATTACCAAAAACAAAATGTGGGTGTCAGAGCGGGGGGGGGGGGGGGGTTCACCTCAGTTTTTCTCATGAATTTCTATGGATTTTTTTTTTTTTGACAGAGTT